ATTGGAAGAAAGCAATTGGGAACTGTCTTTAAACAACATGAGCCCTCTAAGATGGAGAAAAATAATCTTTACAGCATTAAAACAAAACAAATGGTTACGTTCCTCCTGGTGTTCTTCAGGCAACCATTCTGGAAACATATTAAAAATTAAAATGTCACCCCCAAAGAATAGCAATCTTACATTTTTGTTTGGTATGCCTAGATGCAGTGTTAGAACTAGTTGTAATAACTTTCTGTTCCCAAGTTCTTTCTGTGATGTAGTGACATCTAATGGTCAGTTGGTGTTAATCGTCCTGCAGAAAATAATTTCCTGGCTCTATTTCCATTGTCTTCCCATCAAATGTACTAGTATTGAAGTAATTCCCTAGGTTGAGTTCCTTGGCTTAAGAAAGACCCCAGACAGACAGAATGAATATTGGACAAACTTAGGGGGACTGCCTGTGTGTTTCTTAGGCGATCCCTTGTTATCCGAGTATGATGGCCTTCCAAGTTCTTGGAAAACTCCTATGCATGAGGGTTTTTTTTAATGTGTAGAGGTCGCTGCACAGCCAATCAACACACAGTCTTCACAGACTGAGGGTCCCAACCAGTGGCGTGGTTAACACGACGAAGGTGGCTTCTTAATCTGTTGCAGCTTTCTTCTGCCTTTACAACCGTTGTGACATTTATCATGTTATCTTTCACCTGATCTGCTGTTGATTGTGCTTGGTCTGGAACCTCCTCTACAGCCCCCACCGGGAGGGCATGACTCCAGTGGTTACATCCACAGGTTAATTGGAACACGCAAGTCCCCTCACCACGACAAGGTGACAATCCATCGAGGGTTTATTTATGTGGCTTATTTTACATGCACATATTAATGTCATTTATGAGGAACTGGAGCTTGAAAAAAAATAAGTTTGAAAAAAAATTACTTAATTTATGGTGTCATCATCCTTAAAGCAGTTAAGTTTTTATTTGTTATTTTTGTTTGCCTTCAAGTCACTTCCAAGTTATGGGGATCCTAAGGCAAACCTATCACAGGGTTTCTTTGGAAAGATTTGTTCAGATTTATCTTTGTATTCATTTGAGGATGAGAGTGTGTCAATTGCCCGAAGTCACCCAGTGGGTTTCCATGACTGAGTGGAGATTCAAAGTAGAGTCTTGCTTATCTAACCGTCGCTCATCCAATGTTCTGTATTTTGCCTCCTGTTTGGATCCACAACTGTTTCAATAAATTGCGATGTTTTGGTGCTAAATTTGTAAATACAGTAATTACTACATAACGTCACCATGTATTGAACTGCTTTTTCTATTTATTTGTTGTAAAACATGATGTTTTGGTGCTTAATTTGTAAAATTATAATGTGATTTGACGTTTTATAGGCTTTTTCTTAATCCCTTCTTATTCTACATTTTCGCTTATCCAACGTTCTGCCGGCCCGTTTATGTTGGATAAGCGAGACTCTACTGTATTCTTTAGCATCATAGCAAAACACTCAAACCACTACAACACATTGGCAGATGTAACATTGCAGAGTAACTCCTTACTCTCAAAAGTAATTAATTATTTGGCATCTCACAAAATGGAATGCTACACGCCACAACTTCTGGTTCTGCAAAAAACTATAAAGCAGCAACATGATAGCTCCATCATTTAAAGAGCTTAAAATCACCCAAACTATAAAGTATCTTAAAGTTTTAAAAGAATAAGGGAATACATTATCTGATGAATCTTATGCTAGATATTTATTTTTGCCAGTTACTCAAAGAAACTTCTGTAATCCTTTGTGTATTTTTATGCTAAGATAGGTTAATGCAGCTCTCTTTGCATGCTGCTATAGATACACTGCAGAATGAAGTTATCATGTATTAGGCTACATTATAATGTGACATATAGTATTTGTACCTAAATCAAGTGGTTCCATAATTGCAAGTGATTTATTTATAACAAAATCCTTCAAAGGTCTGGGAGAGATTTGTATCTTCTGCTACAAAGCAGATATACAGATTAAATTTTTTTTTTTAGTAATACCAAAAACAAGAGAGGAGGTCGTGTGCAGATTTGCTGCTATTGTGCTATGCTTCTCATGCAGGAATACTTTCAGCTTTTGCACTGTTTTTGTGCTGAACTGTTAAGGTCTTCACCTTTTCAGCAGTTATGCTTTAAGATGGGATTGTGCAGGTCCTAATGGACTCATAGAAAACCTAATGGAAATAAGTGACTAAGAAAGACACTTAGAAAAGGCACTTAGTGGTGTGAAAGGTTAACTGGCAGGAATGATTATATTAAAGGTTTTATTTCAGGATCAGACCATGCAAGTTCGCATCCAGTATTGCTGAGGTATGCATATTTCCCAATCATGTTTTAAGGCAAAGGACTAGATTTGCTTACCCATTGATCTCTAATACAAAACACTGCATCCCTGTAGCAGTGAATCACCCACAAGAAACACAAACCAGACTTTTTTTTTTTTACTGTGCTGTGACCCTCCTCGCGCCATGAGAAGAGGCAGGTAAGGAATAAATATTATTATTATTATTATTATTATTATTATTATTATTATTATTATTTTCACAAGTCCGAGTGGTCTCTTGCAAGTTGTTTGTCTGTTACAAAAGGTTTGTAAATGTTTAAAACATTATTACATACACTCAAGAGCAAAACTGGTTTAATTTAAAATCAGAAAATGGCTGGATTATGTCACATTTCCTTTGTTCCTTCACATAGTTGCTAAATTAAATAAATACTATGTGTTGATGAAGGCTTTCATGGCCAGAATGACTGGGTTGCTGTGAGTTGTCCAGGCTGTATGGCCATGTTCCAGAAGTATTATCTCCTGATGTTTCACCCACATCTATGGCAGGCATCCTCAGAGGTTGTGAGGTCTGTTGGCAAGTGAGACTACCCCAGGCAGCAACCAGCCAGGTTTTGAAGCTGCAAGGCCATTACATGTTAATCAAGTTGTCCAATTGCAACATTCACAATTGCCTCAAGCAGACAAGAGTTTTTTTTCTCCCACCCTGGACTTTCCACGGATATATAAACCTCACTTGCCTAGTTTCCAACAGACTTCTCAATCTCCGAGGATGCCTTCCATAGATGTGGGTAAAACAACAGAAGAGAATGGAACATGGCCATACAACCCGGAAAACTCACAGCAACCCAAATAAATACTATGCTTATAATATTTCATTCCTGTGAGGGGGAAAATCTCAAAGTACGATCTTAAAAATTTCCCGTGTAGAATCTGTCCTATGAGTGGCATCCAATATACTCTGGGAAATATTGGTATATAGCAGTGGCTGGCAAATGATGTTTTTGACTTGTACTTCCCATGAGGTCTTATCATTAACAATGCTACATTCTAACATCATGAGGGTAATAATTACCACATAATTTTCTGATTATTTGAACTACAAGGATTATTGTCCTCCATAGGCATTATAGATTATTTTGCACTGATGTTTCAAAACATAACAAAATGCTATCTAGTACTGAAACATCAGTGAAAAATCATAATCTCTAATGCCAATGGAGGACAATAATGCTAACTACACAGTAAAGGTACTAGGGATTTCAAGGATCAAACCTTTCACAACAGAACCCGAAGCTTTGAAGAGCAAAAGACAAGTACTCAAGACTTTTGGCATCTAGTGGTGAAGGTAGGTATTGCTAGGACAAAAATGGTCAATTTCAATGCTGCAGGACCTTCATCTACAGTTCTGATTCTCGTAAACCAGAACTTAACTTAGGTTGATTCATTATATGTAACATTTTATTTCATGCATCTAATGATGCATATGAAGCTACACTATTATAGCAAATCAGCCCAGGGAGATGGCTGGAAAGGGAATCCACATAGTGGTTATTGTATGGACCATTCACAATGCCTCAATCAAGCATTGTGACTTGCCTTGCATTATACTACAGAATGAAGTCAAATGGAAAAAAATATCTGTGATCCATTGTTTACTTCTTCCCATGAACTATGACTGCCACATAGATTCAGCTCCAAGTAGGTTGCATATTTGCTGTCCAAAGGAGGCAGAAATTGGGTTGCATCCATGTCCACATTTATGTGGAAGCAAGTTGCTTTAGTATGATTCATATCTAAACGAAATTGACCTAATCATCCAACGACTCCCTGGTGGCGCAACCACTGAACTGCTGAACTTACTGACCAAAAGGTTGGCAGTTCGAATCCGGGGAGCAGGGTTCGTTTCCACTGTTGGGCCCAACTTCTTCTAACCTAGCAGTTCGAAAACATGTAAATGTGAGTAGATCAATAGGTACCGCCTTGGCAGAAAGGTAACATGCAATCATGCTGGCCACATGACCTTGGAGGTGTCTACGGACAACGCCAGCTCTTCAGCTTAGAAATGTAGATGAGCACCACCCTCCAGAGTAGGGCTTGACTAGACTTAATGTCAGGGGAAACCTTTACCTTTTTATCCTAAATACATCGGATCCCATTTGATCCTGAAACCTAAGCAGGGTCAGCCCTAATGAGTATTTGAATGAGACTGCCAACCTATATCAGGTGCTGTAGACTGTGTTTCAGAGGAAGGAGCAAGCAAAGTCACCTGTGAGTAGTCCTTTTGTAAGAATGCCCTATGAAATGTAAGGAGCCATCATGAATTGGCAGACATACATACACACATGCACATAAACATGCACAGACTTTGCTGTTGTCTTTGAAGCGTTGCAATATGATTTTCTTTCCATGGCAACACAGACATTGCAGTATTTCAGAATTTGTCCAGGGAAAATGAAATTAATGTCTACTAACAAACACTATTCGTAACTTAGCATGAGGAACTGCTTTTAGACTTCAACCGAATTTATAGCTATAGGATTCATATATTTTATAACATTGGCAATTGAACATATTTAAGAGCAAATCAATGTGTTGTCTTTGATGATTTCTCTTCCCAACTTGCTTCATTTTGAATTTTCCAGTTTCTGATAAGATAATTAAAAACAGTGAATGACTAAAACTGGAGAAAACACAGATAATATCAGTATATGTATTGAACTTTTTATTCTATATACTACATGTATAACACATTATTTTTACTAACATAAAACTTTTGTGAATGATGAAAGCTTCCATATTTTTAACACCATAACATATTTTTAAAAATTGAAGCATACATTACACAAAGTTGGAAGTGCGAGAATTTATATTTACACCATACACAATGAGAAATGAAGACAGGTATGTATTTGAATTGCTGTATTCACCAGCTGAAGATTTGCCTGATCTATGTACCTTTGAATTTGATTTGCATACAGGTGAGAGGCTTGAATTTTCTTATTTCTGCAATATATAATGGAATAATTTATAAACTTCTGCGGTTTTGCAAAAAATAACTAAATCATGTGAGGTATTATTCCTCTAAAAAGAAGGTTGTTCTCCTCTAGATACAAACCCCATGGAAAACCAGTCAAACAGTTCTTGAACTGAGACACACATGTACTCTACAAACTTTCAATGGAACATCAAATAGAATGCATTTTGCTTTGAATGCAAGGACAATACAATTACTTTCCCGTCACACAGCAGTTTTCTATGCAGATATGGCTCTGTGCAGCAACAACTGTTTCAGATGTCATTTTGGAAAATGTATTAACATCCAGGCAAAGGATTTTGCAAGTGAACTGTTGTAGGCAAAGCTTCTATAACCCTCCAGCATTTCAGTGGTTTCATACTTTATTGTCATTTTCAGATAATTCAAAGACAGGAGCGTCATCAGTCCTGAAACGCTTAGGTGCTGGTGAATTTTGCAAAGGGTCTTCAGGTGGTGAGGGTCTCTCTGGAATGTGGAAGAAAATCAAATTTTTAAAAAAAATTTTTTTGTGAATCTTAAAAATGCCAGAATAAGCCAAAATAACTGCATGCTCCCTCAAACTTTCCTACAGCAATACACATTGAATATCCCTTATCTGAAATGCCTGGACAAAAAGTGCCTCGGATTTCAGCCAGGTGCTGAGTCTTACCCTGGGGCTTTTCTCCGGGCTTGGCGGCGGCGGCATCCTCCTCCTCGCAGCCTCCGCTGCTCTCCGCTCCTTCCTCGGAGGCCTCAGCCCAGCCTGGCAGCGCCATCAATGGCACCCAAGGGCCTCTGAGGCCGGGAGCAGCAGAGGCGACAAGAAGGCCGCTGCGAAGTGGGGAAGCTCCGCCCCACTCGGCGGCGGTCTCCTCCTCTTCGCCGCCTCTGCTGTTCCCGGGCTTCGAGGTCCCTTGGGCGCCATTGATGGCACTGCCAGGCTAGTCTCAGGCCTCTGCCCAGCCTGGGAATGCCGTCAACGGAGCCCAAGGAGCTTCCAAGGTGGGGGGCAGCAGAGAAGGAGGAAGCAGCTGACCAGTGGGCGAAGTGTCCCTACTTTGCGGATTTTCACTTATTGTGGGTGGTCCTGGAATGGAACACCCGCGATAAGTGAGGGAACATCATACATCCATACTGTCACAATTTGGAGAGGAGGCTCAAGTCCAAACACAAAATTTCTTTTAGATTTCATTTATACTTTATACACATAACCTGAAAATAATTTTGTGCATGAAATAAATTCTGTGTACATTGAATCATCAGAAAGTAAAAGTGTCACTATGTTGGCTATAGCACAGTTTTGGGATACTACAGGATTCCAGTTAAGTGATTTTTCAACCTATCGTAAAAAATAAACAAACTTTTATTCTGTTTTCATTATATAGACAGCTAATCTAAGATGGAATCCAGACAAAAGGGACAGGGAAGCATTAGAACACAAACTCTAGAGGAAAGAAAAGAAACACTTAAGGATAGGATTCAGCTGAAACTCAATGCTACCAATAATTTTACCATGTTGAACTGTTTCTGTAGAAGAAGCCAAAGGTACTGCATTCAAAGGTGCTGAGTCCAGACTACCTGCCTTTAGAGGAATCAAAGCAACTCTCCTAAACAAGAATAAAATAAAATAAAAATTCAGACAATTCTAAAACCACATCTCTTCCACAAACAAACCGTGCTTTAGCACAGCAGGTTAACCACCAGCTACAGTAAATCTTGCAAATTGAAAGATTGACATTTCAAAGAAGCCCAGCTTCTGCCTACCTAGCAGTTTTGAAAACAGCAATGTGAGTAGATAAATAGGTACTGCTTAAGCAGGGAGGTATTTAAGGCACCCATAAGGAAATGCCAGAAAAATGCAATTGATTCGATCAAGGAGGAAGTTTATAATCAAAGCTCTTTGGCAGGGAAAGTAGAGCAACAGCACCCGCCCATGGTTGGAACTGAGCACAGCCTCCAAGATGCCTAAGATGAGAAAGCCTATATATATCTCTATCAATGGACAACTGTATGTCTTGTCAATGTATAACGGTATTGAATTCTTGCCATATGTGTTCTGTGAGCCACTCTGAGGCCCCTTTGGGGTGTGGAGGGCAGAATAGAAATATTGCAAATAAATAAATAAATGATTTCTAGATTCCCCATTTTCCTCAATGTCATGTCTCTTGTTATTTCTCCTTTGGTTCCTCATTTCTACCCTTCTTCCCTTTGGTTTCAGGTTGGTGCTCAATCCTATCAGCCTAGAACAGTGATTCTCAACCTGGGGTCCCCAGATGTCTTTGGCCTACAACTCCCAGAAATTCCAGCCAGTTTACCAACTGTTAGGATTTCTGGGAGTTGTAGGCCAAAAACATCTGGGGACCCCAGGTTAAGAACCACTGGCCTAGAACAAAACAATGTTCACTTGCTCTATGGAAATTGTAGCATTATACTTACCGTGGTGTTTTACTCCAAGCTTGTATGGGATTAAGTGTAACCCTTCTTGATTGATTTACTTTGGAAGTGTGGCTTGATGGATGTATGGGTTTCTTCTTTTCTGGAGAAGACACTGCAACATTTCTAACTATAACTGGTGTTGAGGGTAAGTCACTGTTGTTCACTGAGGTTTTGCATTGCACAGCCGGACTACCGGAGTCCACAGCCCTACTAGGAGGAGAAGTGTCCACTGCTTTGGCTGGTGGGGAGACAACACTGGGAGACTGGCCCCTTTTCACTTTCTTCTCAGTTGTGTTAGGAGTCCTGACACTGATAAGTGGCTTTTCTTTCAGGGGTATTCCAAGTTCACCCTCTTCAAAAGTCACAAAGGAACAGTAGCCATCCGTAGACGAAATAGCAAGGAAAGAGCCATCGTTGGACCTGGTGTTCATTTATGGAAATTAAAAAACCCCAATTAAATTCCTACAATTATTCCCCAGTATTTAAACAAATGCAAACAACATACTATTGATTATTTATTTATTATTTAAGGCATTTATATCCCATCCTATCTCACTTCCACAGAGGGACTCAACCAGCACAGCATAGTGCTCACAATAAGAAAATATTATTTAAAAAGTCACTGAGCCCAAGTGACCCTTGCTTCTAAATAGAGAGTGGAGGTTGCTTTCTTAGATTTAGAATTACAATACTTTCTAAATGCATTGGAATCTCTCCAATATGATGGGAATAAAGGTAGAAAACAAAGTCACCTGATCTTATATATGACTCTGTAACTATGAAATATTCTGGATTTGTAGATAATTATAAAATCATTACAGCTGGTACACATACCACAAATCATGTTGCTAAGTGAACAGAAACACAGGGAATTTCCTAAACACAATTATCACTCTAAAATCTGCATAGAAAGCAGTTTTCTATTGTTCAAGTTCAATCGGTTACACACCTGCTAAATACAGGAGAGTTTTAGAGCAATATTAGACTTTTAAAAATACTGGCGTTCAAAAGTATGCGAACAACATTTAGACCCAAGTTCATCATGGATCTGCACTGCAGAAAGAGTTCAGTGTAGAGTACAAATTTTATTTTTATTTTACAGTATAAATATACATTTTTCTTGTCAGTATAAAATTAATATTCAAGCCCTGAAATTGGATTTCACATTTGTTGCTCCTCTGGGTGTTTTACAAAATACATGACAATGCTGAAAATGCTAAGACTGTCAGAAGAATTTTTTTCTGTATTTTTGTCATTACAGCAAACAGTGCAGCCTGTTGTTTTGAGCTGTTAGAGAAATTTTGAATTACCTACCATGAAATGTCACTGAGAGTATGATAATGTATGTTAGATACATAACCAAAAGGAAAGGATTGCTGTGTATCATAGAAAAGCACCGAATCTTCTGAAGCAACAGCAAAAACCAACCGATAGGGAAGCGTTATTAGGCTAGTCTTCTGGGAAGATTCCTCTGAAACCAGAAAGAGTTTTAATATAAAGAACATTTTTTAATTCGAATCATAATAATAAATGTGTTACCCACCCCTTCCTGTAACTTGAGGCAGGGTACAACATCATTAAAACAAGAGATAACATATTCTTAAAACACATACAATAGATAAAACACTAATAAGACACACGCACATACAAGAGTTCAAATAAAATACAAAATATGCATTTAAGCTTTTTCTATTGTCTCTCTCCTGTAATTCAAAATATGGTGGAGGCTCCTTCTATGGAGGATTTTAAACAGAGGCTGGATGGCCATTTGTTGGAGGTGCTTTGAACGCGATTGTCCTGCTTCTTGGCAGGGGGTTGGACTCAATGGCCCACGAAGTCTTTTCCAACCCTATGATTCTATGGTTAAAGATGGGAGGACCTCTTCTGAATGCTACTAAAAATAAAAGCTGAGAACTTCGCTGACTTGAGAACTGTTGCAGCAGCTCCACTGGTTGCAAGTTGGTTTCTGGGTATAATTCAAAGTGCTGTTTATTACTTTTAAAGCCCTAAATGGCTATCATGTGAAAACAAGTAAGAGTATTCTAATGATGATGTTCACATGTACACAAACCTTAATGTGGCCCTGCTAATTCATAGGGCTGCCATATGTCAAAGTTGACTTGAAGGTAGCTAACAATTATTCTTAGGCGAGTTTAATTATAATGTAGTGAATGAGTTCCAGATTTTTTTTAAAGTACAAGTACTTCAAAATATAGTATGTTGGACTAATATAAAAAATTACAACATTTTATTCCACAGTCAATGATATCTATTAGGAAGGAACACATTTGCTTAAGTTTATCCAAATTAATGCCATTTGTACAAGGTTCTTTATCAAAATGTCAGTCTTGTATATGTATGTTTCAATGTTCACTGTATGAAGCGTAGTGTGGTATAAAGGTTTGAGTGGTGAACTACAACTCTGAAGTTAGGATTTGAATTCCCACTCAGCCATTGGAAACCCACTAGATGACCTTGGGCCAATCACACTCTCTCAGCCTCAGAGGAAGGCAAAAGCAAACCTTCTCCGAACAAATATTGCTATGGAAAACCCTTGACAGGTTTGGTTTAGGTTGCCATAGGTTGGAAATGACTTGAAGGCACATAGTGTCAACAGTCTTCAATGTGGGTTGCTATAGATCAGGGGAAAAATGCTTAAGATAGTATTTAAAGGCCAAACTATTTTTAAACTAACTAAATATAAGCTGACAATTTAAAAATCTGTTTAAATAGCGCACCAAGCAGGATGTTTTTTTTCCTGTAATGAAATACTGTAAGACACATAAAAAGAGAACTGGGGGGGGCTTAGAAAGTAACCATATGGCATTTGTGGTATAGCACTTATGCAGTGGAACCACAAAGAATCACAAAAAAACTTACTACATAAAACGGCACGATAGATTTAACATACTTAAACAATATTTTAATGCAATATACTTTCCAAAAGTTTTACTATACCTTTGTTAACTGCAGGCCTCAGCTCAAAGTAGACTGGGCAGCAACGAACGGCTAAGGTTGCCTTCCCAGGGCAAGGGAGATGAGCTATAGGCCTAATATGAAACAGCAATCTTTTAATGAAATAGCACTTGGAATATGCTTTAAAATTCTCAGCAAATACAATCATAACAAGACCATACCTTTTTAGGTTTGTTCTGGAAAAAACGTAAGTAGTGTTTGTTACATTTTCTCCGGATTCCACACAACCTGCTGAAAAAGTTAAAGTGCCAAAATGTGAAATCTGCACAAATTCTTCATTCTGTTTCTTAAGTAAAAACTCCCCAAAACCTAGTATATGCTTTTAACCTCTGGTTTCCTTGGGTTGTGATTGCAAGTTTCCAACAAATTAGTGAGAGTTTTATCCTTAAGGAATGTAGTGAGGGGCCCAATATTTGACAATGCTAGAAGTTTTAATGCATACTTGTATTACTATGTTTTTATTTTTTGCTGCCAGATTTTCTAGAATATACTGAACATTTCACATAGTTCTTACAAATCCTGTGTCACTAAAAGAACTCCAAGTTTGTTTGCTTGCTTGCATAGAATTAGAGTCAAATATATGAGACATTACAACCAAACCCAAGCCACTGAAGAAGAGAAAAACGAATGCTGGAAGGTTTAAACCATATCTGTTCTTAAAAGGAATGGCATCTATTCCAGCACACAGTAAATGGAGATGAACTCACATAGTAGTTGGGTGGCGGGGAGAGAGAGAGAGAGAGAGTGCTAGCCCTGTGCCTGGAAGGAGTTGAAGGAGGACACTAGATTTAATTCAGGGTCTTTCATTTTATATAACAACTGGGTAACTAAAATTAATAAAATGCCAGAGCACATGAATAAGTCATCTTGATTACCAAGGATGTACAACTTCAACTTCTTCTTTTTAAAAAAAATATTTTATTCATGTGTTTTGTGATTCATTTAAATACTTTTTATTCACAGTGTCATGGTTGTTTGTATATTGTTCAATGTCTGGATCTGTAGCTTTTGGGCAAAGAAATTACCTTACAAACAACATTGGAAGGTTTTAATTCAAAAGTGTGCATTAGGGAACGCAACAAAGTTCCAACTGACAGTTTATTTCCCTCATTTCTCACCCTGGCCCCTCCCTTGCACTGCTCCTGTTTCCATGGCAACCCAAATTTCAAATATATACAGGACAGTTCTAAGGCATGGCTTAATTTCCTGGCTCCACACAAAACCAGGAAATAAAGTCATGACATTCTATAATTTTTAATATGTATACAACAACATATAAAGAGAGTAGAGAAAGGGTAGTAGCCCATTTTAAAACATATACTAATACAGATATGAACAGTTTATACCATTTTACACTGTATTAAACAACTAATATTTCTACACATACCAGGAACAAGGAGCAGGGAGCCATCAGGAGTAAAAGTCAGTCTCCGGAAAAATGATTTCATGCTGTCATCATGGAACATTCTATAACTTTTCACCTAAACAATTTGGAAACAATATAAAAATCCACTTATTGCTATATACTATGCTACTTAACATTTGTTGGTCCTTTTATTCAAAAGTCCAGATAATTTTCTATAGGCATTAATTTATTTCAGTGTTATGCACTTTGGGAAGAGTCCGTGAGCAGAGGAATACAGGCAGTCTGGGAGTACAACAACAGGAAGTGAGAGAAATCTACCCCTAGGAAGGGAAATTCACTCCTGGAATAGTTATCATGGGGAAAAGGGGTCTCCACTGAAGCTTTCTCACAAATCCTTTTTCCACAACAAGCCATTTTTTTCAAAATGCAACTATCACAGGAATAGAAAGTGGGATGAAATCCAAACAGGGGCACAGACAGCAAAACAAACACCACAGGGGTGTTAACCTTTCCCTAGGCTATCCAAAGAGATATATTGGCGGGAGTGACACTTAAAAATTGTCCCTGTTCTGACTTACATACAAATTTAACTTAAGAACACATTTACAGAACCTATTTGGTTAATAACTTGGGGACTGCCTGTGTTGCGTGTGTGCACATAAATGCAAAATATCAATATGGGTGCATGCACGCATGCTCATGCACACAAGGCACCCAGATGATACCAGGATTTTCTTAGGTTTTATGTGAAGCAAATGCAAATGAGCAAAAATTCTTCAGATGATCTGGAACTATGTGTTTACTCATCTATCACCTCTAAGTTCACCAAAAACTGAAGTCCAACAACTGTCATAGATTCGCTTACTGATGACATGGGAGAGAGCTTTTTCAGGGTGCAGTTATACTGTAGAATTAATGCAGGTTGACATCACTTTAACTGCCATGGCTCAATGCAACAGTAGTTTCAGAAGGTCTTTAAGCCTTCTCTGTCAGTGGGTGCTGTTGCTTCAACACTGCTGCCCAACTTACTGAAAATCATAGCAGCTTTAACTCTGAGAAGCCCTAGCCAGCTTATGAGGGATGTATTCCAAAACATCTGGAAGGCCAATGATTCCTCACCTCTGCTCCACAATCTATATTTCCACTGACCAGAGCAAGTATATATTGATAATTATTGTAGAAATGAAACAAGAGAAATCCAATCCCTTTCCTGCACCAAAATGTTTCCACACCACACATTTTATTTAGAAACAAGAAAATGTCTGACCTCTCCTTCAGTTCCTCCACCTGATGGCATTTTGGTAACATTAAAAGCTACCCGCTTGCTCTGTGTGTTATATACTCTGAGTACCCTACAAAAAGAAAAACTAATTACAATGAATGTCAAACTTTCTCTAGTTATTTTAACTTTTTAAAATGATAAATTTTATTTGAGAAATATTCTGACAATATATAAAAATTATAATATAGCAGTAAGAAAGGAAAATAGCAGTGGGCATTATTCATAGCATTTTTTCTGTAAGAACTGCTATGCAACAGCATTTAAAAGAAACAGGTGCTTATGGATGTAATCCTGTACCTAGGAATTATTCCCACTGAACTCAATGAGTAGACTCATCAATTGCACTGTAAAACACCTTAATTCCTTGCATTTTGGGAAGAAAAATTATTAAGCATTATAGAAAATTATTTCAAAGAATTGTCTCCCTTTTGAAGGAGCAGTAACTCACCTATCACAACTAAGAGTTGCAATATACTGCCCCACAGGGTCCCATGTTACTCCTTGCACATAACTTTTGTGCTCATTAAAAATGGAAACCTTTTGACCTAGAAATAAAAAACAGTAGATTGCTTCTCAGAAGGACAACAAAGCCAAAAATGTTTTCATTGTAACCAGTACTTCACAATCTCTTTCTCATTCATTTTTATAAGCCTAAAAAAACCCAACCTAAGCAGATTATGAAACACATCAATTTGCTCAAACCAATCATTATTCAAAGAAAGTCACTAATGAGGTTTGGGGAGCATTCATTCTCATACAAATAAAATAAAATCAGAGTAAAGTTGTATATTTTCTAGGGCTCCTCCACACATCCATATAACCCAGAATATCAAGGTAGATAATCCACAATATCTGCTTTGAACTGGATTATCTGAGTCCACACTCCTATATAATCTATTTCAATGTGCATTTTATACAGAAGGGCCCCTAGACAACAAAAACCAGTATTTCTAAGAGCAAATTCTAAAAGAAAGGTGGGGTGACATGTTTTACTTTATTTTCTATCATAAACTGTTTTAAAAAAACAATCTTACTAATTACACTATGTAACAAAATTTGAAAAAAAATCTGTTCCTGATTTGAAAGTATGTCGTACTTACTTTGAAAGTAATTGTTATGCTACAGGAACTTCATTTTTGTGGCTGCCACAAACTATGTTGAACTGGTTGAGACTCTATGAGATATTCATTGAAAAACTATCGCAAAATGTGCTGCAGGATGTCCCGCAAAAACCAAGTTTTTACAGTTTAATAAACTTTTTCCATGTTTTTATGATAGAACCAATTAGGAAATGACACACAGGAACAAAAATGAGTGTTATTTACTTCTATCAAAACTCATTCAAAAGGCTGCAAGATTTACCCAATTGTCAGAGACTAATGATATTACTGTGCAGACAGAGAAAAGGAAGTCCAATACACTTCAACAAAACAGTTTACCGTTTCTCCATGACATCTTACAACTTAACCCCCCTGTCCTCAACTATTCAAGACCTATAGCAACATTTGTTTGTTTCAGTGATATTAAATGCAAATGCCTGTGCAACAATAAGTTTGGGAGTCCTCTTGGACTCATCGCTCACGCTTGAGGCTCAGGCGTCAGCGGTGTCCGGGAGGGCTTTTGCACAATTGAGACTTGTGCGCCAGCTGCGACCATACCTCGCGAAGGCTGATCTGGCCGGGGTGGTCCATGCCTTGGTCACCTCTAGATTGGATTACTGCAATGCGCTCTATGTGGGGCTGCCCTTGAAAACGGCTCGGAAATTCCAACTGGTCCAACGGGCAGCAGCCAGGATGTTAACTGGGGCTCTTACAGAGAGAGGTCAACCCTCCTGTTCAAGGAGCTCCACTGGCTGCCGTTTATTTTCCGAGCCCAATTTAAGGTGCAGGTGCTTACCTACAAAGCCCTGAACGGTTTGGGACCACCTACCTGCATGACTGCATCTCCGTCTATGAACCCACACGTTCACTTCGGTCATCTGGAGAGGCCCTGTTCGTGATCCCGCCCGCGTTGCAAGCGCGCTTGGTGGGGACTCGAGACAGGGCCTTTTCTGTGGTGGCCCCCCGATTCTGGAATGCCCTCCCAAAAGATCTTAGACAGGCTCCTACACTGGCAGTCTTCAGAAAGAACTTGAAGACCTGGCTGTTCCGATGTACCTTCTCAGATTAGGAACCTCCAATACCAAGTCCTAGAAGCACTTTAGTAGAACTAAGATCACTGCACACCACACAGTGCACTTACTTTATAATCCTACATACCTCCTGCCACATCAGCACTTTTAATCTTGTACCCATTACTCTGGCCTGGCCCAGTTTTATAATGTCTCGTTGTATTGTTTATTGTTGTTGTTTATTCTGCTTAACTGTTTTTAATTTGCTTTAGGTATTGTATTGTTGTATTGTGTTTTGAGGCCTTGGCCTATGTAAGCCGCATCGAGTCCTTCGGGAGATGCTAGCGGGGTACAAATAAAGTTATAATAATAATAATAATAATAATAATAATAATAATAATAAGTGATTGAACAGAAGTTCTCTGAAGCTTTCGGTTATATAATTATTATTATTGGTGATGAACTACGATTTCATTTTGACGACTTGGCCTATGTAATTATATGATTAGTATTTTAATGTTTTAGTGTATTATGGGATGTGATGTTTTTAAACGATTGTCTGTGATACTGTTGTTGTGAACCGGCCTGAATCCCTCTGCGGAGGTGAGAAGACCGGTATATAAAAGTTCTAAATAAATAAATAAATAACCTTTATTGACATCCCACATTATAGCTGTGTTGTCCACTGATGCGGATGCCATGTAGTTTCCATCAGGAGTCCAGCAAATATCATACACATCTTCTAAGTGACCCCTAAAATCCAGAGAAGGAGAGAGGGATGGACAAAGAGCAAGACAGTTCTGAATGTATTCGTGCAACAATTTCATTCATGGATCTACACATTTCAGTGCTTTTTGCTCTTGATGACAGAGTTATCTAGCAAGTAGGTGAGACTGATGTTTTTTAATAAATATTTGTTAAAAATTATCGTATTGCTTCAATTCTAAGATGTTATCAATTGTACAATGCACACTAATTTCTATGCCACCAACAGAATGAATGAATGAATGAATGAATGAATGAATGAATGAATATATATATATATATATATATATATATATATATATATATATAATTGCAGGTGCATATATATTTCTAAAGCATATGTTTCTTATATTTATATCTATATATTCTACCTCTGTCTATCTATCATCAATCAATCAATCAATCTATCCATCCATCTATCTATCAATCAATACAGGCAAGCACATGCGATTCTAAGATGCCCCCTGATTTTCGGGATGTTTATAGGGAAAAGGTGCATTTTAAAAATGATGAAATACAGTATATCCCTGCAGATTTACATGTACTTTCAACCTCGTAACTTGACTTTAACTGAGAGTCAATGTAGCTTGATCCTGTGTGCTATAATAATAATAATAATAATAAGAAGAAGAATGTGTTGTTTTTGTTGTTGTTGTTGTTGTTGTTATTATTATTATTATTATTATATTGCTGCTAAAAGACAAATAATTCATTTTTTTAATTATTTACAGTATTTATATACCGCCTTTCTCACCCCTGAGGGGACTCAAAGCGGTTTATCCAACGGTGGAAACATAAATATTAAATACTTATCCTTGAACAATGATTTAGTTGTATATCAACATGCACTTTACAGATACTAGCTTGGAGAAAAAGTATTTCTGGACATATGATAAACTTATATTGATGTATTTGTTTAAGTCATATTTACAGCCTCTATAATTTTTCTCTTTGTCTTATTTTCTTTCAATTCAGTTTTTAAAAGATTCTAAAAAATGCCACTTTTATTCATTCTGAATTCTGAATGTGTAGTTCTCCAAGCCATTCAGAGTTCATAATGAATGAAAGTGATGGTGTTTTTTCTGCACAGGAAAGTGATGTCTTAAGTTGACATATGTGGTTAGACAGCAAGACTTTTTAAACTCTTAAGAACCAAAACCAACAGCAAAACATTCTCATTCTAAGAATGTTTTGCTGTTGGTTTTGGTTCTTAAGAGTTTAAAAAGTCTTGCTGTCTAACCACATATGTCTACTTAATTAAATACCAGACTACAGTTAAAATAAGTTGAAAGAGCTTATGAGGTAGTTACTCATGGCATTTAACAGAATATGCAGCGAAATTTAAACAAAAGCTGAAAAGATTTACCTGAGAGTTTTAATGACGGTCCAGTTTTCTTTGTTCAGCTGATTATCATCATCATTATCCTGAAAAGCATTTTGCTCTAACTCTTTGTTGTCATTCAGTTTCCACAACAAAATTGCAGCATCTATAAAATTATTTGGAATACGAATATTCAGTTTCATGATCTTGTTTGCTGTGTGCATATCTGACATGGTGACTCTAAGGCAGGCAAGGCAAACTTCAGCCCTTCAACTGTTTTGGACTTCAACTCCCACAATTTTTAACAGCCGGTAGGGTCATGCTGGCCTTAGGGTCACCAAGTTCAAACCCTGGTCTCCAGTCATATTCAGCACTCAAACCACTACTACATTGTGCTGACTCTCAATTATCACAATGTATTGTATCAATTAATTAAAAAACTGGAGCTGGGCTAAAATCTATTCACTTCACTTGGGAATACACTCCACTGCTAAATAAAAAGGGAGAGAACTGGGCTGCACAATACAAAAATTACAAGTATACTTTTAAAACCTTCAAGAGAGTGAAAATGTGGAATGTAACATTTCTCAAGGAATGTCCTGGTGCTTCTGATTAAACGATTTTGGCTGCCAATCTTCAAACAGTGTACATTTCCCCCCCCTCCCCCATTACATTGAAATACTATGCAGATTTCAATAACACAACCTATTTTTTTTCTTGCATGCTGTGAACAACTATATTAAAATGCTCAAATGCTTAAGCTAAGGAGTTTAGTAGAACACAAACAAAACAAGACAAAAGTACAACACTTTTTTTGACTTCTAGGACAGCTGAAACTTTACATTTGACAAGCGGTTTTAGATATTGTAAAATTTGGTTGTGATGACTATTTTATTTTACAAATGTCTGCTTAATTTGGTAACTTGTTACCACAAAACAATTGGCTACACTAATATTAGTCTGATTGACATGCTGAGATAAATAGGACATACATTAATTGTGATTATTAATTTGCTTCAGCACGGTCAACTTTTTCTTTAAAAGCCTTTTAAGACCAGCTTTTAAAGAAGAATGTTTTTAAGATCACTCTGGGGATGCTGTTTTATGTCATTTAACAGATTTTAAAAAAATGATTTTATTAGTTTTCAGTCTCGTATTTAATTCTATTTTAATGTTTGTATGTTTTGGGTTTCCATTCACATATTATATTACTTCTAGTCTTAGACACTTTTAGTCTTCTTTGGGAGAGAAGAAACAGGATACAGAAACATAATACTGCAATAATGATAATGATAATGATAATGATAATAATAATAATAATAATAATAATAATAATAACAATTGTAAAATATTCTTAATGTCTATGTTGAATAGTGTCTACTGCCATTCCTCTGCAAATGGTAAACTTTCAAAGTTCTTGCTTGGTAATTTTGGTTTTTATATATTGCTTGAAATGTTGAAATTCATAAGTTCTTGTGAATGGATAAAAAACATATATACTGTAATATGTTAAATTCCTCTCACTAAATTAATCTATAATCCATTGACTTTGATGCTGATTTAAATGCACACTTACCGTCTCCGCCAGATGCTAGAATCTCGCCGTTGGGAGCAAAACGCACAACATTCACAGCTTTGGTATGGCGGGCTAAATTGGATAAGAATTCCACAATTGCTTTCCCATCTGGTCCTTTTTCTACCTTCCATATCTATTTATAAAATACAGCAGTCATCAAAGGTACATAGAACAATCCAAAACGTCCAAAACTGTGTTAATGATTCCAACACACATTTCGGTGCCTCAAATGTTAGCTGTTTCTGGATATATCTGACCTCCTGATTTCAAAAATGGCACCAGTTTGTGCCTATCAGCTTTAGTTTTTAAGATACAGAACATATACCATCTATCAGTTACCATCTGCTCACCCATAGAAAATCACAATAATCATATCTAAGAAACTAGAGCTGATACAGTGGGTTGCTGTGAGTTTTCTGGGCTATATGGCCATGTTCCAGAAGCATTCTCTCTTGACGTTTCACCTACACCTATACCAAGCATCTTCAGAGGTTGTGAGGTCTGTTGAAAACTAGGCAAGTGAGGTTTATATATCTGTGGAATAACCAGGGTGGGAGGAAGAACTCTTGTCTGCTTGAGGCAAGTGTGAATGTTGCCTCCTTGATTAGCATTGAATGGCCTCCCAGCTTCAAAGCCTGGCTGATTCCTGCCTGGAGGAATCCTTTGTTGGGAGGTGTCAACTGGCCCTGGAGAGAATGCTTCTGCAACATAGCTATACCGTTCAGAAAACTCACAGCAACCCAGTGATTTTGGCCATGAAAGCCTTCGACAACACATAGAGCTGATAGTCTTATCCAATGCAATTTTCTGAATCAGCATCCCAAATAATTCCAGAAACCTTATTTATTTATTTATTTACAGTATTTGTATATCGCTGTTCTCACCCCTAGGGGGACTCAAAGTGGTTTACACGTAAGTAATGGCAAAAATTCAATGCCAGTACAAACAATTACAATTAAACACTACAATTAGACATAAATTAAATTAAAAAATACATCTGTGAGCAATAAAACAATAATTAAAACAATAAAACAGTCTCATCCGTCGAATCGCCATTCCAGTCATTGTCTTTCTGAAATGCTGCATACATTTACTTCTACTGCCCGAAGGCCTGGTCTCAAAACCATGATCTTAGATTACGAGGTGGGACGTAGGGGTGGATGCGTTCGGGCAAGTAAACTGGGCCAGAACCGTATAGAGCTTTATAGGTCAAAACCAGCATTTTGAATTGGGCTTGGAGATGGACCAGCAGCCAGTGGAGCTGACATAGCAGGGGGATGGTATGCTCTCTGTATGCCGCCCCAGTTAGTAATCTGGCTGCCGCCCGTTGAACTAGTTTCTGAACCGTCTTCAAAGGCAGTGTTATCGTGATAACACGACTGTATTATCACAATAATGAACATAAAGCCATTAACTTTAGAACATCAACAGTATAGTAATGCAAAGAAAAACTCACACGAACAGTAGTGTCCACTCCAGCAGAGGCTAGTCTATTGATTTTTCCATCAGTTCCATGCTGGAAGTCTAAGCTGTACACTGGCTCTTTATTGTGCCATGCAATTTCACAAGTGATAACCTTCATCCTTTATAAATCAAAAATATATTTTGTAGTATAGGTTGCTTTTAACGTTACCATTCCTAAATCCTTTCCAATTATGGATACGGCTCAGTTAGAGGAAGAGGTGTATTCTTGGAAAATACTTCATTAATAATAACAAAAAATAGGTACCAAAGGCAGAAACACATGGACAAAATAAAGATAATTCAGTTCTACAGGGAAAAAGTACAATCCAACATATTTAACCACATCCCTCCCAAAAACTAATATGTGTGTATGATATGGAACAACCAGATCCAGTAAGCCTTGCATAAGTAAACAAAAACAACTGGTTTTTCTAAAGCATTTTCTAGAGCATATGTGTCAAACCTAAGGCCTGCCATGTCATTTTATGTGGCCCTCCAGATGCAGGACTACAACTCCTGAATTCCTACCATTAGATATCATGACTGGGCTGATGGGAGTTGTGATACAAGAACATCTGGAAGGCTGCAGTTTGTTCTGTTCTGTCAGGATAGTGGGCTCTGAATTTAGGCTTGTGAATATGATGTCTAACTTTAAAATGTCTTTTAACTTTTTCCCAACCACAGAGCCATAAGTGCTGTAGGGTTGCAAATCCCGTCATCCCAAGTCCATACTGTGGATAATCAAAAGTTATGGGAGTTGTCATTCAATAACTGTGGGCGTTGCAGTCCTATAGAAGTTAGGAATTGTGGGCGTTGCAGTCCCATAGAAGTTAGGAATTGTGGGCGTTGCAGTCCCATAGAAGTTAGGAATTGTGAGCGTTGCAGTCCAAAACACCTGGAGGGCTGAAGTTTGCCCATGCCTGGTGTAGATGTACCTTTGCTCTTGCAGAACGAGAGGGAAGGCAGATTCGCCCCTTTCCAAAGGGAGGAGAAAGGGGAGGAGGGGGTGGGGGTGTCTCTGACTTTGCTGGGCTCAGGATAAGGATGGGGGGGGGGAATCCCTTTTTGTGACACATAGGTAGAGGCTGCCTTCTTTCCCGCCACCAGAGAAAGGCCTCCTGTCCACTCCCCCTCCGCCCTTGCCCTCTATTTACCTGGGAAAAGTTGAGAGCGCGCGCCCCGCTCAGCAGCACCGGAAGATGAACAGCTCGGTGTCAATTCAAGCTCAGCTCCCGGTTCCCGCGCTCGCGCCTGCGCTCTGGCTTTCCGGAGGAGGAGCCTGCCGCCTGCCTCTCTTCCTGGAAGGAGCAAAGGCACCGACTGTGTTCTTCTTCGGGGAAGGAGGGGTTTTTTCCCCTCCTTTGCTCGCCTCTGACGCACTGGCATTGTAGCATGGATGAGGCCAGTGGTGCTCAACCTTCCTAATGCCGCGACCCCTTAATACAGTTCCTCATGTTGAGGTGACCCCCAACCATAACATTATTTTCGTTGCTACTTCAGTACTGTAATTTTGATACTGTAAATATCTGATATGCAAGATGTATTTTCATTCACTGGACCACATTTGATACGCCCAAATTTGAATACTCCCAAAGTGACCCATTTAAGGTGGAATCAGGTGTCAAACAGGGATGTGTTATTGTCCCAACCTTATTTTCTATCTTCATCGCTATGATACTTCATCTTGTTGACGGGAAGCTTCCCACCGGAGTGGGAATCATCTATCGGACAGATGGCAAGCTGTTTTTAAGGTTAGAACAACATCTGTTATAGAACTCCAGTATGCTGATGACAATGTTGTCTGTGCACATTCAGGAGAAGACCTAAAAGCCACTCTAAACACCTTCGCAGAAGCATATGAGAAGCTCGGCTTGTCATTGAACATTGAGAACAGTAGGCTGTTAGGAATTGTGGGAGTTGGAGTCCAAAGCCCCTGGAAGGCTGACGTTTGCCCATGCTTGAGACTCATATCATGTACTGCCCATATAAGGTGTTGATGTGGATTCAGTCTCCCAATTATCCTTCCAAGCTAAAATGCCTACCTCTGCATGAAGTTCCTAATGACATCAGTGCCTCCAATTCGATTATGGCAGTCTTCACGAATTTCATAGTGTTTTCTTAGGCAAGGAATACTGTGATGGCATGCCCCAGCCTTTGGGAAAACTATATTGTCCGGTTTTACTCGGTGGCTACCTTCTGTTAAGATTAAGACCCTTAGCAGACAGAGGCACAAGGTGAAAAGATAACCAAGTGAGTTTACTGAAACAAGATGAATACAAGGTTAACTCCACCCAGGACTATCATAAGGTAACTTAAAACAATACATTACAAAAGGAGATTTCGCTGGTTGCAGTCATCTTTCTGGAATCTTTGAATATCTTTTGCCTCTGGTGTAAAGTGATAGATTATAAATTGTTGCTTCCAAACTGTCTTAATCTTCTCTCCTGTGAAGCTTAGGCTGGCCAACAGCTTCTGTTGTCTAACTTTGGACTGTTTGTATTATTGTTTATTCATTCAGTCGCTTCCGACTCTTCGTTACATCATGGAACAGCCCACCCCAGAGCTCCCTGCCAGCTGTCACCTCCCCCAGCTCCTTTAGGGTCAAGCCAGTTACTTGAAGAATACCATCCATCCATCTTGCCCTTGGTCGGCCCCTCTTCCTTTTTCCTTCCATTTTCCCCAGCATAATTGTCTTCTCCAAGCTTTCCTGTCTTCTCATTATGTGACCAAAGTACTTCATCTTTGCCTCGAATATCCTTCCCTCCAATGAGCAGTTGGGCTTTATTTCCTGAAGTATGGGCTGGTTTGATCTTCTCATAGTCCAAGGCACTCTCAGAACTTTCCTCCAACACCACAGTTCAAGAGCATCTATCTTCCTTCGCTCAGCCTTCCCTATTGTCCAGCTCTCACATCCATAGGTTACTATGGGGAATACCATTGCTTTAATTATGCGGATCTTCGTTCCCAGTGTGATGTCTCTACTCTTCACTATTTTGTCGAGATTGGTCATTGCTCTCCTGCCAAGAAGTAAGTGTCTCCCGATTTCCTGGTTGCAGTCTGCATCTGCAGTAATCTTTACACCTAGAAATACAAACTCTGTCACTGCCTCCATGTTTTCTCCATTTGCCAGTTATCATTCAGTCTTGTTGCCATAATCTTGGGGTTTTTCAATGTTTAACTGCAACCCAGCTTTTGCACTTTCTTCTTTCACCTAAATGATGCTAAATGCAGCAGATGCTAAGAATGCCTGTTTGGATTGCTTGGGCTAGAATTACCAGACAATGCCTCAAGCCTCTGGTGTCTGTAGAAAAGGGAGGAATCCAGCAAGAGAGCACTATATAGGGAAATGGAATAGACCAACTAAGGCTGGCCTCTGAGGGGTTTTAAGCTCAACCCAAAAACCAATACAAAGGAAGGTGTCTACACTATTGGGAAGGCCCGTAAATAGGGGGAACTGAGGCAGAGCAGAGAAGGCAGAGCCAAGACTTCACAAATACACAGAGATGGTTTGGGCATCTGAAATTTAGCCTACAGCACCTGGTCCTCCTTGGTGGTCTCCCATCCAAGTATTAACCAGGACTGGCCTTGCTTAGCTTCCAAGTGTGCATTCATTACAAACAATACACATCTGCATTGAGCTCTACAACAGTTTCCAGTTGAATGGTTGTTTCAGAGCAGTGTTTTATAGTTTTTAATAGTTTTAACCCACAGTTGTTATTTTAGATATGTGATGTATTTTTTATATATATGAATTTTGCCATGTATTACATTGTGAACCACTTTCTCACCCAGGGGTGAGAAAAGCTGTACAGAAATGCAACAAATAAATAAAGGCTGTATTGATATGGATGTATTAAGAAATATAGAAACACACACATATATTGTATGTATAAGCACATTGAAATATAGGAAATTAGATTTTTAGATGCAGTAGCTAGACGGCAAAGGAATGTTCAAGGGGGTCTGTTAAATTTAAAGTCAAAGGAATTTCTCAGCACCAGGGAACGGGCTGACACAACCTAATGGAAGGAAAGTGGTAGGGCCTCTTGATGGATGGGCTGAAAGTATGTTTATCTGTAACTGTGCCTTAAGAAGAAGTGATGTATGTTAAGGATCAAAGGTTATCTCTGTGACGTAGAGCTGACTATGCATGTAGCTTTGTGTGATTGTAACAGAGGAATGTATAAATAGAAGAGAAATCCCTTTGTTTGGGGCTCTGACTTTTGGAACAGATTTCCAGCCTTACCAGCTGGTAAACTAGTTTTTCCAAGTCCCAAGAAAGGTCTGTGGCTGTCTCTCTTTATCCACTTCACTTGGAAGCGGCTCTTCAACAGCACCTGCTGATGGAGATTTGTGAATTAATTGTCAATCTGATTAGGGCGAACAAGTAGAAATATCTCTCCAACTTTAAGGAAGACTTGGGACTTGCATTACCACTTTGTTATAATAATGATAACTGAGATTTAGGAAAAATCTCATGAGAAAATCAGAATTAGAAAAATGTCATTTAAAGTAGAAGTGTGGCTATATAATATGATAAGAAAGGAGTAGATTAATAAGAGAGAGAATCATCAGGCAAAGAATGAGGTTTGTAAATTAGTCATTTATTTATTTATTTATTCGGTCTTGAGTTTTGTGCAAGTGTGTTGATTCATGTGTTTTATTTTTGTGTTTACCATCTATTTTAATAAGTTTAATAAGTAATATAGGGGTTTGTAGATGTGTAGTTTTAAAAACATATATGCTCTATTATTCTTGTGTAACTATATATGCTTTGCTGAATTAAAAATTATTGTTAAAAATACCCTGTTAAAATTCTAAGCCACCTAAACAATACAGTATCAAGAAAAATAGAGTCCAAGTGAACAAGAGTCCAAAGACCATTAACTGGACAACATTATGGAGTGCTTAGGATAAAATGAGGACCAGAAAGTCTCAAATCATCTCTGTCTAGTTAACATTAAACCGGTCATAATCTCTCAGAATAACTCTTAGGACTGATGCAAGAATCAAATAAAACTAATAAAATTCTCCTCAAAAATCCTTGTGAAAGAACTATCACACTACAGTAAGCAAATTTTGATAATAGGCAGGGCTTTGTGATGTTGAATTTTCCCCCAATGGGACATTAGCAATGATGCTCAACTCCATTCTAATTTTTTGAGCCACTTTAAGACACAGTTGCCAACCTAGCAGTTCGAAAACATGCAAATGTGAGTAGATCAATAGGTACCGCTCCGGCGGGAAGGTAACGGCGCTCCATGCAGTCATGCTGGCCACATGACCTTGGAGGTGTCTAAGGACAACGCTGGCTCTTCGGCTTAGAAATGGAGATGAGCACCACACCCCAGAGTCAGACATGACTGGACTTAATGTCAGGGGACTACCTTTACCTTTACCTTTTTATACATTTTCCTGGCATGATGAAACAGTTACAGTTCTTTTAAGCTGTATAAAAAATATAAATACGTAGTTAGAAGAAAACAAAGAAAAAAAACCCGCTCATGTCTGCTTAACAGGAAAACTATGCATTTGCTATTTTCTTGTTACATAAAAAACAAGAATGCCTCCATTTCGTAGAAAATATACATATTTTGATTTGTTTCATGTAAATAAAATTTTATTTTCATTTATTCCCTTTCATTCAAAAGTAAATGTACAGCAAAAATTTAAATAACATTCTCCATACAGACAAGTTTTTATTCAGACTTTACAGTACATTCCAGTACTGAAGAATACAGCAAGAGTAATGGAAAAAAGTATGGAAAAATAACTCCTCAAAACCACATGATTTTGCTAAACATCTGTATCTTTTCATTAAATGAATGTAATATGATATTTAACAATTATGTTGCAATACTTTAACCAGTGTTATAATACATTGTCAGGTATCAAAGCTTAGAAATATTCATAAACCTCTATAAAATACAAGTTATTGGGGAGGGGGGAGAATTCTACTTGACAATATTGCCACTGTTCATCTTAAAAAACAAGTTAGAAAAGCATACAACAGCATATATCATCTTTGTGTAACTCTTGAATGCATTATAAAAGGTAAATACATCCGTAAGAAATGATGAAATTGAAAGGTAGCAACCTAATACATCTGCAGTGAGTTCTGAGTAGTAAATTCTTTGTTTGAAACAAGAATGAAATCAGATGTGCCTTTTTGTTAATAGATATGCCCCAAATTTCCTCATGAAGACTGCATGCAGGATTTCACTCCTTTTTTGTCCACCAAACATGGTGATGACATCCCTTGATTTTTTGACATCTTTTGATTTCTTGACATCCTTTGATTTCCTTGACATCCCTTGATTTCTTCAGAAGTCAAGATCATACAGACACAGATTCAGTTTCTCTTTTGGGAAATGAGACATTGGGAAAAGTATTTGCTGTGGAGGAAGCAGGAAAAGCTTACTTCTTTTCCTTTAATGTCACAGTCCTAACAAAAACACTGATTCCTTGAAGTAAATGAGAGCTAAAAAAATAACCTCAAATTTTCAAATGCCATGTTCATGTTTGCATCGCATTTGGCACGAAGATGAACACTCTGTACAGGTTGTAAACTTTACCATAAAACAGGAGATAGAATAAATCTGTGTTTTAATGGCAGGATAAAAAATTATGCACTATTGATTTCATCATTCATATGTTCTACCACTTGACCTAGAATCTCATCAACAACATCAACGTCGTAATTCATTTGTTGCAAATCGAGATCAGGCATTATTGATGCCAGCAGCATTCCCACATTAACTCGTAGGGATCTCAGCTTCAGGCTACAGAAAGATGAAAGATAATGTTGAATACATTAGTTAGAATTCTATATATAGTGCATTTATATAGAGTACTTTATTCTTCCCCAATATTTTTGTTTATTTTATCATAATTCAATACATTTGTTATACATCATTTGTTTTACAGCAGACACGTTAATATTCAGTACAATCCACAATACATTATCTTTTGTATCTATTGTTGTTTTCATGCTTATACATATTTTCTATCCCTCATCACCGTGCTCTCCTCCCACAAGCCACTTCTTTTATATATCACCTGTCCAAAATTTTACTTCCTCTTGTGGAGGTAACTTTCCGTGTTTCTCTTTGAATCCTCTTTCAACAATTTTTCTCCATACATCATCAAAATCACTTTGTTTCCATATCCCTCTTTTAACTTTTAATTTACATGCCAGCTTGTCAGTTATTGCCAATTTTCATACTTCCTTATACCATTCTTCTATCTGTATATTTGTTTTTCTTTTCCAAGTCCTTGCTATAAGCAGTCTTGCTATTGTTAACAAGTTTGGTTATCACATCTTTATCCTCTTTTTTCAGCTGTTTATTATTATATAATGATAATAAAGCTATATTATTTTGATGTTCATTTTATTGTCTTTTTCTCTAAATACCCTTTCCCCCAAATTATTTACATATTTACACTGCTACCAGATATCTATAAATGTTCCCAATTCTTGGCATCCTCTCCAGCAATTTTTTTTAATAGTTTTTATTTATATTTGCTATTTTTATTGGTGTTAGGTACCATTTCCATATCAACTTATAATAATTTTCTTTAACTCGTATTGATACATTCATTGTGACCACTCCATTCTTTGGAGGCTTTTAAACAGAGGCTGGATGGCCATCTATCAGGGATGCTTTGAATGAAATTTTCCTGCTTCTTGGCAGGGGGTTGGACTGGATGGCCCATGAGGTCTCTTCCAAATCTATGATTTGATGATTCTAAATCTTTTCCCCAATTCTCCCTGAGGGTATTAATCTTTATTTTTTCTTCCTTTAATTTAATTAATATCTAATATATTTTACTAGTTATTCCTTTCAAATTTTTACGTTCATCTATATCTCTTCCATCTTGTATCATTTGTTCGAACTGATTAAGCTTACTTCCCTTTTTAAACCCAATTTCTGAACCACTGTTCTAATTGTATACAGTGGAACCATGTCAATTTTATTTCTCGGAATTCTTTCATAATCTTTTCCTTCTTCATTCCAATCTTTATCCAATTTCTGATTTTATTTAACCTTTTCTCTTTATTTTTATCCATTATATATTTTACATTTTTTTGAAATTTCCTTTCCATTATAATTGAGTTTATTGTTGAACCATCCGTTATTAACTTTTCCCTGTATTTGTTTCATATTTCTAATACATTACTCAGCACTGAGTTCCCAATATCCCTAATTTCTTTTCTCATAAATTCTTAAAAAAAATATTCCAGATTTCTTCCTCCACTTTTTCCTAATCCATTTTAGGCATTCTATATCCTCCTTTTTTAAATCATTCCTTCTATAACCAATGTCAGCCTGTTTGCTTCATAATATTTTTAATATTAGGAAGTGCTAATCCTCCTTCTTTTTGAGATCTGTACCAAAACTGTTTTTTGTATTTTACTGTCGTCCTATCATTTGTTGCCATTTATTCAGCTCTTCTTCTGTAACCTGAGGTGGTAGCATTCTAAATATGAAGGATATTAGTATTTTCATTTTTACTATTTTTCCAAACCAAGGTAAATGCATATTTTCGTATTCTATTAATTTTTTTGAACTACTTTAGACCACCCCCACCCAAAAACTTTCATTCCACCTTTTTTTTCCTTTGCCAATGCATTATACTATAATATATAAAGAAGCAATATGTGGGGATAAATGGACCAAGCAAAATGCCTGTCAACTCCAGGGGAATGGTGGAATCTATCTTGGTCCCAACTCAAATCCTTAGGCTCCCTGGGGATGGATGCATAAATAGTACTACTAGTATTGCTACTACTACTACTACTAAGTTTTCTCAATAACACTACTTGATGCTTTCTTATTTTGAATGCCCCCCTCCTCTCCAATTGATCATGTTCCAGAATTCCCTGTAATATGCTGAAATTTCATTTGACAGATATCAACCTTGAAACAGTTATGAAATTAATATAGATGGAAAGGAAGAATGTCCAACAACCTTTTCATGTACATTTCTGGTAAAGTAGTAGGAAATGTGTACCTTTCCCCATCAGAAAAATTTACAGGATCAAGATTACCAGCCACAGGACCATTTGCATGTGATACCACTTGCGGGATTGAAGCTTTTAACTGAGTGACTTCTTCTTTTAACTCTTCACACTGAATACGCAGCTGGTTTTTTTCCATTTCCAGTAGTTCAATCTGAAATGGATAAAACAAAACTTCTGACCATTGTGTTTTTGAACAATGGTATTTCTTAAACATGCTTAGCTATGAAATAATTCTATCTTTATTAAGAAAAAACTATGTATTAAATGTTATAGGATATGTTCATGGAAATACAGGACACATAAGCTAACAATTACTTAAGAGAAATTTCATAACTATTTTATCCTTTTGGTTCTGTATTTAAATATCTACTATAATCATATATCCACCTGTTTCTTTTATAACTTGAATTATGGAACTTACCTCATTCTTGTACTGGTCTTTTTCAACGCTGCACTCGTCCAGCTGTCTGAAAAGATCATCTATTTGCACAGCCATGTCATCGACTTCACTTTTATTCTCACTATCTCTACATTTATTGCATTCCGTTTTTAAATTCTTCAGACTATTGCACTGTTCTTTTAACTGTTTCACCTCATTCAATGCTTGTTCATACAGAATTAACATCTCCCCTGGACTTCTCTCTTTAATTTGTCTCAGTTCATCATCTGGTAGTATACTATCTGTTTCTGTTGACTGATGGCACATTTCCTTTTTCATATATTTATCATTCAATTCCATCAGTTTTCGCTTTAATTCATTTACTTCTTTCAACAATGTATCACACTGCTTTTGATAGTTTTCTTTTTCCCTAGTGGTAGACTGCAATCGAATGCTTAATTCATTTGGTCTTTTATCTGAATCCACAAAACTAGGGTCTAAAACATGTTCTACAAAGGTTGCTTTTAGTTTTGAAATGGGCAGATTATTATCTGCGTCGTCCTTCACATCTTCCTTCTTTACTTCTGATTGTTCCCTTTCAGTTTGTGTTGCTACAGTTCCTTTTGAACATGTTGCTTCAGAACAAGCGTCTCTGTTTTCAGCATTCTCTGTTTCGATTTCATTATAGTTGATATCAGTGCCACCTTCCACTTTTACTATTTTGATATCACACTCTGCAATATCTGCAGGCTTTGGAGTACTGTTCTCTTCCAAGATGATAACATCGTCATCATCAACCTTGTTTTGTTTTCTGTCCTCAAATGCTTGGCTAGTCACCCGCGTGATCTTAATAGGCAATGGGGTTGCAGGATTCGAAAGCTTGCGTTTAAACCTATCAAATGAAAAGAAATAAAGGTAAGAATTTTTCTTCAAAAAATTTAAGCTTTGGATATTTTATTAATAGTAAAAAGTACAAGAAAATGTCACGTAAATGATGGATAAATGGGAAATGAGGATCTTGAAATTTATTTACCAACCTGTTTTCGTGGTCAGAATGAGGAGAAGATACTGGGCCATTTTCTGATGAGTTTAGAGACCTTGAAATAGGTGTATTTGAAGCATCTGTATGCAACATTTCATTCATTGCTGGAGATGTATTTGGCAAGGCAGATGATGTTGGTAAATACAATTCATTATAAATCTGTAAAAATTGCATTGTTTTGTTACAATTAGAGGGGGGAAACTTAACTTCTACTTCCAAGACTCTCTCCTTAACTTCCTCTGACCACCTCAGAGTGGCAATATATGGTTACACCCTCTGCCTATCAAATCCTCACTAATTCTCTATTTTTGTTCATTCTGTATGACATTCCCTGTAATCTCTGGGTTGAAGTTCCTTCCCTTGGACTTTTAATTTCATTTCCAGGCTTGAGCTTAGTTCACCTTGGTTCTATGACATTATCATGTCTCTTGTTGACTTCAGCATGCATACTGGTAATCTGTCAGACTTAAGATGACAACCATCTATCTTTCAATGTTAATCAAGGTGGCCAATTGCAACATTAAAACTTGCCTCCAACAGAAAAAACAGAAAAACTTGCCTCCACAGATATATAAACCTCACTTGCCTAGTTTCCAACAGACCTCACAACCTCAGAGGATGCCTGCCATAGATGTGGGTGAAACATCAGGAGATAATGTTTCTGGAACATGGTCATACAGCCTGACCTTTAGAAAAAAATTAAAATAATGGTTCTGGAACCAGGCCTTTGGACAATAGATGTATGCAGCTTTTAGTGGGACAAGGACTGGAACGGCGACTCGACTGATTGTTTTATGGTTTTAATAACTGTTTTGATATTTGATGATGTACTGTTTTTAATATGATTTATGTTTAAAGTGTGGTTTTACTGTTGTAGTTGTAAGGCATTGCATTTTTGCTATTATCTATGTGTAAACCACTTTGAATCTCCCTAGGGGTGAGAAAAGCGGTATATAAATGCTGTATATAAATAAATAAATCTCACAGCAACCCATCTATCTTTCTCCTTTGGTGTTTGCATTTGAACTAACTCCGCCATACACTGCTTTGTACACTCTCCTATATTTTCAAATGCAACTTCTGACTACTGTTAATTTATTTTATTGTACATCTCTGCCATATATCTTGTCTAAAACAATCACATTTCTTGATCTATGTGAACTCTATAAATGTGTTCTATTAGCTTCCCCCAATAACACAGCAAAAGAGGGTTACTTCAGTCTTTTCAATCCAGAGATGGCCTTCCCATATCTTATAGAGAATTGTGTGCCCTCGGGGTTTGCAGAGATAACAGAAGAAATAAACATTATAATAAAGAAAAGGAAAGGAAAAGCAAGTTCTGGGTGTCACCAAAATGGCATAGAAGGGTTGCATGCATCTTTCCTATTTTATATTCTACAATACCCTGTACTTTTCCTTTCCACTTTCTGCTCTTTGCTTGAATATCTGCCTCTTTTTCAGTGGTAAAATTGAACACTATATAATTTGGTCTATCTCCCATCTACATCTTATCTTTCTCCTTGCACTGGTTCCTTCTACTCCATCCTAATCCTTCTGCTATAGCAATCTTTCTCTCTGGTCTTTTGTTGTTACATAGTTATTCAATGGAATAACTATGGTTGCCTCCCCTAACATGTATCTATCTCACTGACCCACCAATTCTACATCCTGACAGCTGGGTATTATTTCCCATGCCTTTATCTCACAATCAAATAATCTAAATTCACTCATGTATCCTGCCCACCTACTACACAATTTCCTTTCTAATCGATGCCTCAAGAGAGAATTATGCTTACATATATTATATTTATTTTCTCTTTTTCTGGTGACACACTACCTCACTGGCAGGAAAGGTCATTCCAAATGTCTCATACAACCTCTTCAACTTCCCAAAAAACCCCGCAAACACATCTTTTAAAAAATATTCTTAGTTGACTAGTTTTGTCTCTAATGAAAAATGGCAAACTTCTACTCTTTGTTTTCCCTTAGTTATATCCCTTACCCTCCCAACCACTCAAACAAAATAACTAGTCTTACTAGAAAATGAAACCACAACAGAAAGTGGTTTTAAAAATTTGCATAGTATGATATATTGCAAAGGAACTAATTACTATGTCTACCATAGCGACCCATCCCTGCAGTATAGGCTAGCTTCCTCCTTCAGTTGCTTAAAAACTCTCACTAAAATAATCTTTTTAATTAGACTGTGCAACAAAAAAACCATACATTTCCACATTAGATTTTTGCCTACCCTTATAACTGGCAAACTAATTACTTATGTGACACCTTCCAAATACATGCCAACACTTCTCTACCCATCCACAAAACCTATACTATACTCCATTTCCCCTAAATTCAGTTAAACTCTGTCCTTTCTTCTTTGCCCGTCCTTCCCAGCAAAATGCTTTTTTTCTGATTCCTCCTCAGAACCTTCTTTGAGGACTCTGACACAATCTCTCAATGGAAGCTCAGCCCAAAGTATGTTTAATTACACTGAGGACATATTCTTCTGCTATACTCTTGACTTATTCTTCCTTCCCACCTTTTTTTCTCTTCATGTGCAGGAATTACGACATTCAACTCCTCGTGGCAGATGTCGGTTACATACCTGTTGGCTAAATTCCAGTCTTTTCTTTAATTTCTCTCTGTCTCTGTATTGAAAAAAGGAAGTTTTATGGCACATACTCATAATTCCTTTTGTACTTTTAACATCTATTTAATGCAAGTATTAAGTAAATGAAGCACATTTTGTTTATTAGGTGCTCTAGCTGTATCTTGTGTGTGTGTGTGTGTGTGTAGTACCTTGCTCTTTGCCATCTACTGCTACCATACAAGATAGGCATCCTCAAACTGCGGCCTCCAGCTGTTTGGGCCTCCAACTGCCAGAAGCCCCAGCCAGAATGTTCAGTAGTCAGGAATTCTGGAATCTCCAGCTGTTTGGACCTCCAACTCCCAGAATTCCTAACTACTGAACAGGCTGGCTGGGGCTTCTGGCAGTTGGAGGTTTAGGGTTGGAGGGCTACAGTTTGAGGATGCCTGAATATTATAAGAACTGCAAACATTGATGTGCTGATTTCATAACCACATATAATTTACCGCAGACTTAGAAGAAAAATCTCTTGGAATGGGGTATGAAACTTTCCAAGGACATGGTAATTGCTTTCCTAATACATTTTTCACTCAATCTATGGTGAAAGTGACACTACTTTCATGATAGAACTACTGCAAGACACAATGTGACTAGCTGTACAACCCCACTTAATATTTTTGCAGTCCCCAAAAAGTCTTCAGATCAGTAATGTATTAACATTTCTCAGGTATATTGGGATCCAGGCCTTTCTATTTCTCATATAAAAAAGGTACCTGCAAAATATATAGTAGACAATTTTGACTGAAATTTATTGGTTTCTAATATCTGATAAACTTGACAACAAAATGTTTGTTTGTTTATTTATTTGCGACATTTATATGCCGCCCTTCTCACCCAGAAGGGGACTCAGAGCGGCTTACAAGTAATATGTAAATACAATATATACACACACACAAACTAGGTTTCACAACATTTCAATTTCTTGATTTTGTTTTTCTTCTTTTGGATACTCACTTTTTCTTATGTGTTTTTTCATATGGTATTAAATCATCATCTTCAGGTTCTTCAGGCACATTGCAATTTCTAATGTTTAAAAAAGTGGCATGTTGTTATTTATTTTAACAGGGCTAACACAACTACTGTCTGGAAAATCTGAGCTCCTTTTATTGCTACCTACATACCTAAACTGAGGGTCAGGGTTGTATGAGCAATACCATTTTTCTGGCAACCGATGAATTCCATCTGGAAGCTTCCTCCATTTCAGGCATGAATCACACTGAACCCAGGTCTGATCAGGTCGCTTCCTGTAACAGAACACCAGTGACATGAAAGCTAGGCAAGCAGGGCTTGAAGAAAAGGAGATATTTATGGGTGAAATGTGTTACTCTTAATAACTTACTGGGTATCTTCAGCTAACACTTCCAAGGGATAGTCTTTTTTCTTTGCTTGCATCTCATTCCAGTAATCATTCAGCTTTTCACCAAGTGCATGTATTGTAAGCCTAATAAGCAAGAGGTACCAGTTTGTGATTCACCAAAACACATAAAACAAACATTCATCATTTGTCACGGAAAGCAAATACTAATGTAAACAAAACACACCGGATGGAACCAGTCTTTGTGTGAGCAGAACTACCACTCCACCCCTTAAGACTTTTCCATGGAGGAAGGGAAGCAATTTGCCCTATTCTTCCTTCTCTCTTCAGTTTCTTATTTTTTCCTGAAAATGTGCTATTGAGTTCTGACGCACACTCTGGAACAATATGATGGGTAATGTTCCTTCCTCCAGTTGGAACATTTGTTTATTCTCATTTTCTTCTACAAACATAAACTATTTCATTTTCTACATGTCCGGAACCGACCCAAAGAACTGCAAACATGTATTTGTGTGTATGTGCGTGTGTGTAGACACACACACACCTCTCTGAGAATTCAATGAATTAAGGAAATCTATGGTGGAATCTAGCAATGATTCAAATACAAATCTCTGCACTAATGGTATATACTACGGCCATAATTATGAAACAAATGACACAGTTATTCATTTTTACAATAATGTTCACTAAAACACTCTTTTGTACAGTGAAATAAAGGTTTACCTGTATTCATTAGTATAATCAAAATCCTGTTTATTATGGGTTGGTTTTAAGAAGCTGCATTCAATAATCCCCACTACTCCTACACCCATATTGTTTGCCTGCAAAACAAGAAAGAAATAAGTTTGTACATGCCAAGGTTTCAATCAAGAATGCGAATGACAAATATCTGAAATATTCCTAAGTCTCGTATATGTTTACTCTTTGTCAGTAAGCATCATTATCTTATGATATCTGGCATTTTCACTTTAAATCTTCAATCTGAGAGATAAAGTTGACCACTGGATTTTGAAACTGGAATGGGTGGTATAGGGCTCTCAGTTTAAACATCACAAAGTAATTGGGGGGGGGGGAGCACCATTTGTTGATAGTGGCTAAAAAAAACTAACAGTAAGAAAAATGTATAATTTCCTGAAATTTTCAAGTCATGTTTCTTGTAAGAGGGTCAAAAACTGAAATAACAGCACACACACACAGACACACACAAAGGGTGGGCCAAAACTCACAGACATCTGATCTTTTAATAACTTTTTGAAAATGCGTTTTGAAAAGATTTTACTTGTAATGTAATGTAATTTTATTTTCTCTACTAGCTGTACCCTGTCATGCGTTGCTGTAGCCCTCAGAAAACAGGAATTCCAGTTGAAGAAATAGACAGAAGGAACACTGATAGATGAAAGAGAAGGTAGATAGATAGAACATAGGTAGGTAGGTAGATAGATATGTAGATGGAATGATTGATGGATGGGAGGATGGACATACAGACAAGACAGCTTTACAGCCAAAGGGGGTTGGACTTGATGGCCTCTAGGACTCCCTTCAAACTGCTTGACCATCTGTCGGGAGGGCTTTGATGGTGTCTTCCTTTACTGTAAAACGAGGTTCGACTGGGTGGCCTTTGGGGCCCCTTCCTATACCTCAAAGGGTTTCCCACCCCCGTCCTTCCGTGTGTGGCATCAAAGGGCCCCTTCCCCAGCGATCCTCCTCCATCCCTCCCCGGCTTCCCTCCTAGCCAATCGTTGCTGTGGTCTAGCCTGGTGATATGGAAAATATTTGAAAAGTAAACAGCTAAATACTTTTTAAATTAAAATACTAACAGTAAAATATTTTAAAGTTAATTAAGTATTTTTAGATTTAAATGTAGTAAAGGTAAGCAATTAAATATTTTAAAATTAAAACATTAAAATTAAATAATTATTTTAAAAACAAAGTATTAAGTAATTAAATATTTCAAAATTAAACCAAATAAAATACATTAAAATAAAGTATTAAAATAAAGTATTATAAAATGTAAATATTAAATATGTATAAATTATAATATTAAAATTAAAGGAATGTTTTAAAATTAAAAAGTTAACATAAAATACTTTAAATTAAACAATTTTATATGTGATTAGCTGTACCCTGCCACGCGTTGCTGTGGCCTATAGTAAATCTTTTCAAAGTAGAGGTAGATATCTGGAGTATTATGAAAGAGAGGTACCTACCTATTCCTTCCCCCTTTTTCTCCCCCTTTCTCTCCTTTCTTCCTTCTCTAACTTTTTTTTTCTTTCTTTCTATCTATCTTTCTTTCTTTCCTTCTTTCGCTCCTTGGTTTCATCCTTCTCTCTTTCCTTCATTCCCTCCCCCTTTCTTCCTTTGCCTCCTTTCTTCCCTCCATGTTTCCTTCCTTCTTTCATTTTTTATTTCCTTTTCTCCTTCCTTCTTTACCTCTTTCCTGCCTTTCCTTCCTTTTATTTTTCTTTCCTTTCTACTTTCTCTTCTTGCTTCCTTCGGTACCTCTTTCTTTCCTGCCTTCCCTCCTTCCTTTCTTCTTCCCAATTCTTACCAAACCCTTCTCATGGGAGTCCTATGTGCCACGTTTGGTTTAATTCCGTCGTTGGTGGAGTTCAGAATGCTTTGATTATAGGTAAACTATAAATCCCAGCAGCTTCAACGGAGGGGGGTGGGAGGAGGAGGAGGAGTGCAGGGACGGGATGTCAGTGGGTGTGGGCAGGGCTTCAGCAGAGGGGGTGGGTGGAGGAGGAGGAGTATAGAGCGGGGCGTCGGTGGGTGTGGGCGGGGATTTGGCAGAGGGGGGTGGGAGGAGGAGGAGGAGTGCAGGGGCAAGGCATCGGTGGGTGTGGGTGTGGCTTTGGCAGAGGGGGAGGAGAGGTGGGGGGGGGGCGTTGGTGGGTGTGGGGGGCTTCGGCGGAGGGGGGTGAGGAGGAGGAGGAAGAGTGCAGGGGTGGGGCGTCGGTGGGTGTGAGCGGGGCTTTGGCTGAGGGGGGTGGGAGGAGAGAGGAAAATCACTCCCCCATCGGTGGGTGTGGGGGGGGCTTCGGCGGAGGGGGGTGGGAGGAGGAGGAAGAGTGCAGGGGTGGAGCGTCGGTGGGTGTGAGCGGAGCTTTGGCTGAGGGGGGTGGGAGGAGGAGTGCAGGGGTGGGGCCTTGGTGGGTGTGGCCGGGGCTTTGGCAGAGGGGGGTGAGGAGGAGGAGTGCAGGGGCGGGGCCTGGTGGGTGTGGGCGGGGCTTCGGCGGAGGGGGGTGGGAGGAGGAGTGCAGGGGTGGGCCTCGGTGGGTGTGGCGGGGCTTTGGCGGAGGGGGTGGGAGGAGGAGTGCAGGGGCGGGGCGTCGGTGGGTGGCCGGGGCTTTGGCAGAGGGGGGTGGGAGGAGGAGGAGTGCAGGGGCGGGGCCTCGGTGGGTGTGGGCGGAGTTTCGGCGGAGGGGGGAGGGAGGGTGCGTTGGCTGTTTGGCCATGTGCGCGCGCCGGGGACTTTGCGCCATTGCACATGCTCAGTTGTTTTGTCGTTTTGTGAGTGTGTTGTTGTGTTGTTTTATTTTGATTCGATTTGTTTGTACCTTGTGGGTTGAGGTATGTGCATAGGAATTTTGGTTAATTTTCGTTGGGTTTTTTTTGAGTTTTGCTGTCCCGTTGGACGCCCCTTACAGATTTATATATATAGATATCAGTTATTGTAAAAAATCTAGGAAATATTTATAAAGACAAAACCATGATACATAAATTTGTTTTTACCTTCAGCTGATAGCCAACTCTTTCATATGCCTTGATTAGCCTGTTTCTGTGATACATCATCATTCCATAGTGATCTTTATTTCGGCAGTTGAATCCAAAGGTAATTCTTACGGTTTTGGGCTTGTTTGCGCACGTTAGGGAAAAGTATCAAATATTTAATTAAGAGAAGGACAAGGAGATATTTACATAGCATTCTCCAAATCTGAATTGCAATGACAAGCTTAGTTTCTGTAAATTTCCCTGATAATATGTTTGTAAGCCAAATAGTTTTCATTTTGTCCAATGACTCATGATTTTAAAAAAAAAAAACAATTTTATGACCTCCATATTTTAAACAGAGACAACAGTTACTCATATTTATTTTTCAAAGATCTTCAACTTCTCAGCAATTTGCTCTCCTTGAAGTATCTGCTATTTCCTAGGTAAGAAACATCTGCCCAGCATTCCCACTTTACAGATGAAGGTCTGTACATCATAGGCCTCTGAAGTCATTTAAACTCCCATTTACAGGGCATATTGCTTGGAACTCTTGCTGTGAATTCCTTCCATACTGTGCAGGTGAATCCTTGAAGTTATGTTACTATAGAATGCAATATGGTTGCTTTTTAAAACACAGAAATAATGTTAGAAATTTAGATAGAAAAGCTATTTTGAAATGTACATTTCTACTCGCTATAGGATGTGCATTTTATGTTTTAGAGCTTTAGCACTTTGTCCTCCAAAGCACTTTACACTTTTTAGATCTGCTCGTATGCCCTTCCACAAACGCCACTATCACCTTTCGTCCATGTCCCAGCATTATTTCCATTTTAACTTTACATTTGGCCTTCCCACTGTTTTTAATTGCGTGTTTTCTTATTGATAATGTTGTATATTTTATTGCCTATGTTTTATTTTAATTGCTTGTACTGTTGTTTTGCTTGTATTGTTGTATTCGGGCTCGGCCTCATGTAAGCTGCAATGAGTCCCTTGGGGAGATGGTAGCGGGGTACAAATAAAGTGTTATTATTATTAGAAGCCTGCAGAAGCTTCATAAAAATGCTAGTGAGCGAGAGCTTCGGTACATATACAGAGTTCTGTCCTGCAATTTGGCAATTACAGTAAGTCTAATGATAGACTTCGTAGAAAGCAACAGATGTGCTGAACTTCTTAGGAACCCCTGCTTTGCAGTTTTGGTGGGAGCCCAAAAGGGATACATTGGGTATGCTTGGTAGATTTCCACTATACTCCCTCTTGTGACATATTTTTCCTTTGTTCACTTTTCTATTAAAAATGCCTGCAAACACTGATTGCATCTGGGAGTTCTTTTTGAGCACGAGCTAACTCCATGTCTCAGTGCTGACAATAAAGTCTGACCTTTTCCAGCCTCAAAGACTTGCAGTGATCTTCATTTCTGACCCCATTTCAGTCTTTCTAGAGAAGAAAAATACGGAATGTTGTACTTTGGTCTTAATAGCAACGTTTTCATAATTAAAACCACCCCTTAAGGATTATGAGACGTCTTGCAGAAACGTTGCTTTGGAGTCCTAAACTGGTGGTGAATATGGTCTATGAAAAGATATAGCCAAATTTTTCACAATTTGTTACACCTTCTTGGTCAATAGTACAGTCTCAAAGGATACAGCCAAAAACTTTGGTCTATAAACATCGCGTTCAATATAGGCAAGGCTTTTGGAAACCAGTTGTGTTTGTACTTTCTGTCCTCTTAAAATGATCTGCATTCTTGGCTTTAAATATAAAATACTGCAGTAGGCCTGAAAAACAAATGAAAATTCATGATGGAGTTTTTATAGGTTGAAACTGATGACAACATCTTCAATAAATGTGACATAATGAAAGAACATATAAAGTATCTCACAGAAGTTCAAGACTCAAATCCCTGAACCAGAAGTCAGAATTCACATTATAATAGAAACAGGTTCACTTTACACATGAGGTAGAGCACACAATACTGTGTACGCAAGAAAGAATGATACTCCAAAATACATCCAACAATGATTTTCCTGTAATTGTTTATACAGGTATTTAAGAAATGGGAGATTCTTTTATCGTATTTTAAAATTGGATTGCCTTTCACAAATCCCTATTTCTCAACTTAATCTAAATTACTATTATTTGAGCAGTCAAATAAGATTATTATGTTTCTTTGTATATTGAGGAATACTATCAAAATGGAGACAATATATTAATTTCCTAAAAAAATCGGCTTACATTTCCTCTTATATTAAAGGGCAAACAATTCTCCAAGTTATTATTAAACAAAGCAATTAGAATATACCCATGGGTTATTACAGCTATCAAGAATGTCCAGTTTCAGAGTGATTGATAGTGTACTATTGTCAAAGATTATGGAAAATAATATTCAAATGTTGGAATGTTTAACTTTGCTTAACTAATGTTTAATTAGTAATGTAGCATGGTGTGACCAAGTTTGCTCACATGAGGCTCATTTATCTTTTGCTGTTTCTTCTGCAGTTCCATCTCACCTTTCCCACATCTGCTCTTTCCCCTTTAAGAAAAAAGCTGTGGAAGGAAGGTGAATTTTCCTGTTTTCATTTTGCTAATTGAAGTAGTCGAAAGCCAATTGGAGATACTAAATGGATTTCATCCAAAACCATGATTCTGTGTTGCCATTGTAAGTACACATTGTATGCAAAAATCTGTGCCCCTGCACGCCTACTAAACTGAGACATGTGAATTGCCCAAGGTCACCCAGTCAAAGTCCATCCCCTTGTCTGACTAGATAGGGGAAAGGCAATAGATTCACCTATATCTTATGAGAAGTGAAAGCACTGAACCCTCTCTATTCCCTCTGCCATGGCACCACTTCTGGTGGCCTTTTTGGAGGCCTAAGCAGGGAAGTGGTGGCTAAAGCCAGAGGCTGCTGCCTCTCTAAGGTGGCACTGGTCCTCTTCCCTCTCTATGGAATGACCCTCAGCCTATCTATGGGTCATATCAAAATCCATAATTTTGGCCCCCAAACCTGCTTGTGGCTTATGCATGAGTATATACGTTAAATATAATAATAACTGATAATAAATCTTTATTTGTATCCCGTTTTTCTTCCTAAAAGGACCCAAAACAGCTCACAACATTATAAAAACAATATAAGTCAACATACACATATAAAACAATAACCTATAAAACCGAATTTACAATGGGGAATAAATAAACATTCAAAAACATTTATTTATTCCCGAATGTAATTTTGTTTTATAGGTTATTGATTAGATGTTTAGGGTACAATACTGCAGCAAAGTAAAGGAGGTCTATAGTATACATACCCTTAACGAATAGTCACTTTCAGGTGTAATCTGATCTTGTCTCTCTTGTTTTTTGTAGCCTCTTTTCCCTGTTACTTCATCTAAATCTGCAGGAATCCGAATATCATATTTATCTGTACCAAAATCAAATTCAGTTTGTTGACTTTTTTCCCTTTGGAAGAGAATACAAATCCAGTGAATTAAAGTGACTACGTGCTAACAAATATAAGAAGTAGTTAATAATCAGCGTCTTCTGCATTGATAAAGACAAGTATACATGCATACATGTGTGTGTGTGTTGTGTTTCATCTTAAAAGAATCACAGATCTACTATGCAGATACTAGTACAATTTATTCATGAGACAATGTTGTAAATTCATTGTTGCTACATTTTTTATTTCCGTTTCTTATAGTTAATTTTTTTAAATTAATGCTTCATAGTAAGGTGGAAAATGGTCCTTCCAGTGTGTCTACATTTGGTCAAAATTTCATTCCCAGAGAAGTTAGGCTGGCACTACATCTATTTTCTGTTCACTTTTCTTTTACAACAGGCATTTGATGGTTGATTGTGTAAGGTCAATTTCTCCTAAACAATGTGCTGGATCTTGCTATTGTTGTGCACCCTAGTGTAGTTGTGTATGTGTGCCAAAATTAAAAGAGAAAATCTGTATTTGCAGAACTCCAACTTACTCTCACCTTCGAAGGTTCCAAATAATGATCCGTGTCCCCTTTTTCCCTATAATAGCATCAAGCTCTGCAAGCAACTCCTCTTCTGTGGGAAACAAAGAATGTTCCAAAATAGCCCTCAGGCTGGCTGCTGATTCTTCTAGGTTCATTACTTGCCGTAACTTACATTAAGGACTTAATATTTTATCATTCAAATTCTGTTAAGTCACTTGTCATGGAAAATATATGATGTGCGGGTTTGAATAGAATTGTATGAAAAGTGTATGAATGGGGCTAAATTGGGCTGAAGATACCATTCTGAATATTAAGGCCTGCAATGACTACAGGAACTGAGACGGCATCAACATGTTTCAGGCTGGAAAAACATCTCTTATTCATTTACAACTTTGGAACAACATCAGCAGAAATATGGCTGTATAAGACCTTACTACAATCCAAAAATTGTGACAGACAACAGTGCTGCTCACCCGCCATGCTCTACGGCAGTGGTTCCCAACCTTTTATTTAACCAGGGACCACTTGACCAGAGACTACTTTGACCAGTGACTACTCTCTAATATTAGTACCAAAAGGGTTACAAATCAGTTTTTGATAAACTTAAGATTCCGTTTGGGGTGCTGATTCAGAAAATTGCATTGGAGAGACCACATCAGCTCTAGTTTATGGTACAGAGCATATACCATGGTCAGCGACAGGGAAGGAGTGGCAGGCGCGAAAGGAGAGGAAATAAAATAAATAAAGAGGAAGGAGACTCATGGACCAGATTTTCGCCCTCACAGCCCTCTGGTGTTCCGCAGTCCACAGGTTAAGAACCACTGCTCTATGGAGAGAGATGGCGTATTGGAGAGTGTCAGATCTGCAATGGAAAGTAGGATTCTGGACACTTGGCCTCCTTTTCTCAAAGGAAGAGGAAGGAGTGCAATTTTGGAGTCATGTTCTTAGGGAAAGGGCATTTTGGCGTTTTAGAAGGTTTGTACGTTGGCAGATTTGCAAGGAAGTAGTCTAGCCTAAAAGGTGTTCTTCTCCAGGAGACAGGAGAAATGGTGATGTATGCATGAGGATGAATGAATGGGTAATGTGAATACTGAATAAAAATGTAACCCCCCCTAATGTAACTGTAGGTTGTTTGTGAATCCAAAGTAGTTGTATAGAATCTGTATGTCTAATGTCGTTCTTCGTGTAAGTGTAAAAGTTCTGATACACCCTCTCACACTGAAATTGCAATAAAAAGAACCTTTGTTTTAAAAGTATTCATGACACACTGGACGTTTTCCTGAAGAGCAGTGTGATGAGTGGATTGAATGAATTATATGCTTGGGGTCTGGCAAGGCTAAAGGCATCATCTTAAAAAGGGAACCTGGAAAACTGCATTATGGAGAACAAAAGGAGCCAAAGAATTCATTAACTTTGGCATGAAAACTGCTAATGAGAAAACTGCTGAGATGAGAACTAACCTGAGAGCTTTGAGGTGTAAACAATCTATGTTTACATAGTCAAAGACAACATTTTAAGAAAGAAATTAAACAACTTATCTGTTCCAGAATAGATGAGACTCCAGCAGGTCTAAGCTGAGTGACAGAGGTTATCTAAACAACCAGGTAATGGATAACCAAAAACATTCTACACAAGAGACCCTTTTACTTTTCGCCTGTGTGCCAGACCTGCAGGGATGCAGCCTCTGTCCACCCGCTTCCTTCCTCCCAACAAGCCCGATCAACTTAACAGAGAGTGATAGTGGGTATGAATATTGAATGTATGGAGTATGAATGAATATTGGAGTATATGTGATGTTTCCCTTTACCTGTGTAACCAAAATAGCTATTATAAAACCAGAGATCTGTTGGTCTACTTCTTTCTTTGAAAGTACCTGATGTACTCTGTTCCCCTCAAAACGAATTAAAGAACATTTTGAAAGTTCAAATGTATTCATGACACTAGGAACTGATGACAGATTACAACTTCAAAAATTCTATTTTCCTGCCATTTTACAGCTTTTTGAAAAAGATACAAAGTGATCTCGTTCTCTGACAATGTGGCCACTCTGGTATGTCACTGCTCCTGAAGGAGGTTGGAAATATAAGTGTTACTTGGATCTCTATTTCAGCAGATCTTCCAGAAATCCCCAACTCACTGAAAGGTTAATATCACTACAGAGCAGCATCTAAAGTAGTTACTGGTTGCATGTAATATGGTGTTGGCGGCTTAATTGGCTGTTCATAAAACAGTGTTTCTGTCATAAAACATAAAATAGTGCTATCTATTGCCAGCCAGGATTTTCAACCTGCTCTCCATGCTGTGCACTGCTATCGTATATATTGGCTGGGGGACTCAGGATATTTCTTTGGCTTTAATTTGTAATAAACTGCACTTCTATAGCTGTCTTCAACTTCTTAGCTGTCTGTCAAGAGAAGAGGCTTAAAGACAGTGTTGGGTAAATTGCTAAGTAAGGAACCAGTGGGATCGACATGGATGCTACAGCTTCTGCAACTTTTTATATTTTATGCCAACTATTATATATTAAATTTCCTGGATGGAAATTCTACTTTGAAAAGTACATTTGTGCTCAACACAACAAAAAAAGGATATGTTTCTTGTTGAAAGATATTATGGGAACAATTACATGTTCTGCTTTTGTAACTTCCAAGAAGGTCTGAGACAACATGCCCACGCTCATGATTTCTCCATTCTTGGTGAAAACAATGGCATCATTTCCCAGACGCATGGATCCTGATTTAAATCCATTCCCATACAATCCAACTGGAACACGACCATTCAGTGTAACTTTGTCACTGAAACCAAAGCTGAAAGGTGAAAAAGAAAAGTGCCAATTTGTGTTAGAGTCAATTTGGAGACTTGGGGTGTGTGTCCAGAGTGAGTTCTCTCTCATCATGTCTTGTGATGAGGGAAAAAGCAATTCACAGAGAGGAAGCTAGTTTTGGGGTGCTGAAACTAGCATGAAATTTACTTTAGGGATAGAAGATATCAAAGATTAGTCCATGAGCTATTAATCTGTCTGTGATCTGCTAGTTTTGAAGGGAGTGGCAAACACAGAGAAGAAAGAGGCTTAATAGCCATATTTTTGCCCCTCTGAGAAACTACTTTAGCTGTAAGTAGAAAAACTCTGGATAAAGCACCCTAGAATCAACAATACATCAACTTAATGAAGTGAAAATATTGGAAACCTCATCAAAGATAAAGCAAATGAACTATTTCTCACCTATCTCTGCCTAAACTCAATTGGAAGATCTAAGGAACAGCTTGATAGCTGGAGAAATCATCCTTCCCCCTCCTTTTTTAATGTTGGAAGCCGGACTCTTTTGTCTTGTTGGAGGGGGGCAAAGCTTGTCTCAAGTTGAAAACAATGTATTATTACTAACTGGATGATAATTTTGGATAAACCCCAAAGTTAAGACATTTTAAATTACAATTACTGTGAATTTGACTAATTTATGATATTTCCTGCCAGCAAGAAAAATTAGGAATGAAGGTAACACTAGAAACCAATATTTTGTTTTCTTTACAGTGTTTTGTAGCAAATATTTTTTAATGCTGATCACTTAAAAATTGTCACATCACATAAGGTTTTGAGAAACTGCCAATTTTGTTTTACAATTATTGCAAAAATTTGAAACATTTTCTTGCTCAACAGTAACTTGCTCATATCTTTGACAGCCATAACCAACATTATATAACACATAACAGAGACTAAGTCTGTTAAAATACCCCAAGAATAAATGTTTGATTGTGTAGAAACTTGCTTGGGCATGGCTGTAAGATTTTAACTTGTTTCCATCATAGCACAGCTTAATACAACTAGCAGCAGCAAAGAGTCAAAGTCTGTGTAACATCTTTGTGAATTAGCATTTCGTATCTGTAAAACTGTTGATTCTAAAGACAGTGCATATATATTTTTCTCTAATGTAGCCCTTTCATCAAGAGGGGTAAAATAGAGGAAAGAGTAACCATATGGAATCTTCATGGCTTGACACAGTGGTTGACACCACGAAAGTCTAAAATTAGGCGCAATTCACCATCCTTCTTTTGTAGTAGAAAATAGCAGGGGAGGGAGGCATTGATGAGCCCATGAACTAGGAATTCAAGAGATGGCCCCCTTGCTGAGAAATGTCTGGACTTCATCTTATAGGCAAGTTGATGAGTGCTTAATTCAGAGGTCACCAACTGGAGGGTAGGAGATGAATTCTATGGCATAACTGTGTCAGATAATATCAAGCACTTAAGATTGTTATGCTACTCCAGGCTTTGAAAAAATGGGATGAGGTGATCCAAAAGGTTCTCCTGCAAAGGGTACACAGAAGCAACAACGCAGGTAGGATGTAAAGAGATGGCCATCTCAGGAGGGTCGTCAAGAGGAGTAGGTGCAGAGTTGGTGTGGACAAATCTAGAAACACGGCCTGTTTATCTCTACCCTGGTACTGGGTGGTTTTCTGTTAGCTGGTGTTTTAGGCTGGGTCTTTGACCTGGTTTATGATAGGCGAAAGTGCTTGCAGAAGTATTAGGAGTAGCTCCCCCATCATGGTCTTGATTGGTGAGAAGTACAAGGGGGAAAACGAACTTGTGTGAGGTTTGCCTCATCTTATGTGTATGTTCAAGTTCAGAATTAGTCTCTGGATTAAACAGGCCCGCTTCATGTATGGGGAGATCTTCAATCACCATGCATGTTGAGATGGATAAGGCTGAGGTGCAAAGCCAGGCATGGTGGCGCAAGGCTACAGCTGCTGCCAGTAGCTTGACGGAGGAATTGGCATTATGCTTTGTAGACCAGCTAGGAGGCATGTTTCCCGTTTAAATGCTTTGGCCAGCCTCTGATTCTTGGAAGGAAGGTGATCGAGATAGGGAGCAATTTTGCTCCATGAGAAATTTTGATAGGATCCCATGTAAGCCTCATAGAGTGTAAAAAGTGGACAAAAAGGCAAGCTGAAGAGATGATTTTGAAAGATTATTTCCTTTTTTATCAACCAGCATAGAGTGTAATCTCTAGGAGGACCATGGTTGGCTTACTACCACTATTATGGAGTTCAGTTTGGGTTGTTTCACAAGTGGAAAGGTTCACTTGGTACAAATTCTCCACCCTCCTTGATGGTGCTGGTACTGAAGGGGGGTGGGGAAGATCTGGAGTCTTGATCAGTTACAAAAGGTACAGTAGTGGCAGTCACCTTTTGTTGTGACAAAGAAATACTGTATCTTCCACTGTGGTGGGAGGTTGAGGAGTTGGAAGGTTAGGTGCCAGTGCCAAATGAACTAATAATATGGCTGAGAAGCCCCACAGGTTCTCTGATGAGATAAGTTACAAATGTTTGACTAGGTTCAATGCCGGGTGCTCATCCTGAGCAGTTTTGGATCCTTCTGAGTCGCAATCTCTCCCCTCTTCCTCTGGCTAGGAGGTGTAGAAGTTGGTCAGTGCAGGATGTTGCACTGCACAAGTGGAGGCCACAGTGAGCGTGGTGAGGTCGTTGAGGCTACAGCAGTCCCGACGACGGGTCCAACACCGTAGCCGATGGAGGGGAGGGGCACCCTGATATTATAGGTGTTTAATGCGGATGGTTGCAGCAGCTGTCGCAGTAGCGACAATGTTCATAATTCATTCTGTAATGTCCAAGCTATCTGCTGAAGGTGGGACAATGTGAGTGCCTATATTTGTAATAGTGAGAGTAATGTGCATCAGGTGAGGGAGATCTAAGATGGTAATAGAATCCCAGAGAGGGGGGCTTTTGGTGAGAGAGCTCCATGATTCCAATGGTGAGCAGTACCTATGGTGGAGGGAGTAGTAAGAGAGCTGCGACTGGCGAGTGGCCCCACAATTGCAAATCCGAGCCTGAGCGCATTGGCAAAATGTCAGGATTGCCTGCAAATGAGGGGGTTGTAGTGTGTGGACCAGATTCTTGGTGCCTGTACTCTGTTCTGATGGAATCTGAAAGGGTTGGAGATCGCAATCCCTGGTACCAGTTGGCGCTGGGGCTTCACCAAGGTAAACTGAAGTGGCACATCATTTGAGAATGTGCCACTTGAAGGTGGAGGCCTTGAGTGGGCGATGTTGTTGCATGTTGCGGGGGGGGGAGGGGCTGGAGGGTTTGCTGCTGTCGGGCTGCTTCCCTTTTTCGTGCTTCTTGTGGCTCTCCTTCGCTTACACTGCTCTTGCTGGGGGGGGGGGGAGGGAAGGGGCGCAAGATGTCTTGGCCTTTGTTCCTACTGCAGGGAGCTCCGATGGGCCTTCAAACATCTCCAAATCCTCGCTATCATTAGGGAGGAGTTATTCAACCCAAAAGATGGCATTCCATCCTTTGCGCGAACAGCTGAGGGTTCAGAGGTTGAGTGAAAGCCTGGCAAATATGACAGGACTAAGTTATATGGCCTTCCCCAGGCACAATAAACACATGGCATGGAAATTGGAGTCTGTGAGTTTGCTCCTGCAGGTTTCACATTTTTTTGAAAAACGAAGTGGACAACATTAGAGCTAAAGTAGATTGAGTTGAGGAAAGTTCAAAAGTTTAATCAAAATGGAAGTCCAAGTCCAAACCATTAGGGCAGACGTAAATCACACAAAACTAGCTTGGTTCAGTGGGGGGAATTTGATAGACTTTAGCCGAGTAGTGAATCTGAGTCAAATTGTTAGAAGAGGTGTCAATCACAGAGATCAGAGAAGTTTCTAAGCTGCTGGTAGTGGCAGAAATAAAGAAATGGAGGCTTAATCTCCACCCACATCTATATTTACTTTCTGGAGAGAGTGGATGGCGGGGCGGGGGATGTTCTGCCGAAATGTTTCACTTTAGAGATCTAGAAGGTCCCGAACTGCTTCAGGCATGCACACAAGACCTATATGTGTGATTTCACAGACACCATGAAAAAGAAAGGTGGGGGAGGACTGTGGAGTGGGGCATGATGGGACTTTTTGATTTTGAGATTATGTGTGTTTTTTTTGTTATTATCTTTTTAGATTATAATAAAATGAAATAAAAAATAATGAAAATATATTGTTGTGTACCTTTAAGGCCTATTTGACTTATGGGGACCCTAAGGTGAACCTAGCCACTTTGGTTCCCTATGGGGAGAAAGATGGGATAGAAATAAAGTTAATAATAATAATTACCACCACCACCACCAAGGCTAAAAGAATATTATTTGGTTGAGTTCACCCAGTGAATTTCCAAGGCTTAGAAAGAATCAAACCCTAATCTCTAGTGTTGTAGTCTTAACTCTCAAACCACTGCACCATGCTGACTTTCTAACGGAGTAAGTTAGGATTTCCTAAAAAGCAATTTTCTTAAATGTTTATCAATTTGTGCTGAGAAATTAGAACACAAAGCTAAAAGGGTACCTACCTCAACATCTTATGTAATTTGTCTGCATTCATACCATTTCCATTGTCCATAAATATTAAGCATATGTTCCCATTTATAATTGTTTGGTCAATCCACATCTGTTTTGCATTTACATCTGGATCATATGCATTATCTGACAATAAAGAATAGTGCAAAATAATATCATTAGAATGACACTGAAACATTCCTGTGTTTTATTATGTTTCAAACTCTCCAGCTGCACTCACCTTCAATTTATTGGAGTGGAGGGCTTGTCTTCGTTCACATCTCTTCTTACTTAATTCTAACTCTGAGTGTTGTAACGTCAAGTCACCTAGCTATACTGGGGATTCTGGGAAATGCAGCCCACAAACATAACTTTTCCAAGTTCAGTTCAGGAGGCGGAATTACAAGGATGTCATTATTGTCCTATAGTCTGTGTTATAAAAGGTAGGGCTGGCCTTCTCTGGCAAGGAGTAATGCACCTGTGTGCATACGCTTAAAGCCATCTGTTGACTTACAGTGACTTCATAAATTTCATAGTTTTTTTTAGGTAAGGAATGCTCAAATGTGTTTTGACAGTTCCTTTCTCTGAAATATATCCTAAAATACATGATATTCACTGGCAATCTCCCATCAAACTTCTATTCATGGTTTGCAGCTCTTATACTTTGACATCTTGGGGCTCCACGAAGAATACTGAAGGGCTCAATGCTTTCCTCCTTATCCCCACTCCCCTTCCAAGCTTTCCCTCCTCTTTTCTGCTCCTCCCCTTTCCCCTGCTCCCTCGCCCCCCCCCCCCAAAGCCTTTTTTCTTCCTACTGCTCAGGGGGTGTCTTGATTGTGCTTTTCCTGCATGGCAGAAGAGGGTTGAAATTGATTAAATTGATTTAATTAAGTCTATAAAATAGAGAACTGACCATACTATTTAAATTATTTTGTGTTATGGAACTACTCTTCATGATTCATTAAAACATTTTTTTCAATTTCCTCCTCCAATTTTTTTTTCTGGCTACAATGCTGTCTTCCACTGAAATACTATTAAGTTTATGTTAGTTAAAATCATTCTATATTTTAAATATTCTATTGTTCTTCCTTTCCCTTTTTTTGTAGTACAAATGGGGTATGTGCAATTTGCATAGGAATTTGTTCATGTGTTTTTCCATTAGTTCACACAAACACTCTCCATCCATCTGCCACTGGCCCAGCCCATATGCCAATTTTTGAAAAGCAAAAAAGTTTGCCCATGTCTGATATTATACATGTTATATATAATATATAAACATTTACTGGTGCTCCAAGAGAAAGTTTTGCTTCAAAAAAGGTTCCACAGCTGAAAAAGTTTGAGAACCCCTGGGTTAGGGTATCTGAGGTGTTGAACTGGTTGTTACTCATTATATGCCATGTAGATTAAGGCAGACTTACTAGCTTTATTATCAAAGAACTAAGTTGATTCATACAAATTCTTCAACGGGGTGGGATATATATTTATATCCCACCCTTTTCACCCTTTTCAGCCTATCGGCGACAACAAGTTAGTATACACAATAGCAAAATATAAAGAATTAAAACAATATAAAACCACAATAGGAACAATAAAAACCAACATCATTATCATCTCCTAGTTAAAAACATCTCCTAGTTAAAATATATGTGACCCACCGCCAAGATTTTAGACTTGGAAGGCAATCATACTTAGACATAAGTGATGACCAAGGAAATTTGTGAGTAATTACTAAGCCTGTCATAATTTATTTTCCAATATGATCTTATCTGGATAAACTAACCAGGTTTTGTCTACATCTTTTGAATGTATGCCTGCCAGGTAAAAAAGTATCATTTACTAACTTGTCCATCTATATAAATGAAATTACATTTCTGTCTTTAGTTACCATTTTATCTAAGAATTAGGAGATGGATTTTCACCAATTCTAGAGGGTATTTTAAAGATGATCTGGCTTAAAATACAAACTATACAGTAGAACAACAAATGTTTATTTGGAGTTGACTCAGGGTACCTCAACTATTTAAACTGGATTTTCATCCAATTTGGAGGTTGCGTTGAGGAAGGTATAACTTAACATATAGGCTATGTAGTGTATATCAAATTTATTTCAGGGGACCTAAAAGGCACCCAAATTCCTAAGGGAACAGAGACTGATGTACAACAAAAGAGATTGTGAGCACTCAAAGATTTGTGTACTCATCTTTCAGAGCAGTTAACACTGGACAATCATTAAGAATGATTAATGTTTATCTAAAACAACAATGGATACTAAGAAGGAAAATTTGCGGCTTTAGGGGCAAATTTGAGAAACCCATGCCATAATAACATTGCATCTTTCCAACAATAAGATCTTGAATCTCACTGAGTACCATTAGGCTTGTTCTCATGTGAGTAGGTACAATAGTAAAACCTTTAATTGGTTATAACTGTAAGATGCATATTAAAAGTGGCATTTACCAAGCATGCCATAAACTTAATAATAAAATCATTGTTCACTTACCTATAAGTTCAGCTACAGCACTAAAAGGCCAGGTGTGACTGGTTGAATTTGTATGCAGAAATTTTGGACACAGCTGAAACATAAGGTAATGTAAATATTAAATTAAATATATATATACAGTATTATTATAGATATGTGGGAGTATATACACACTCACACACACAACCCACGCGATCTCTTCGATCATCTGGAGAGGCCCTGCTCACGCTCCCGCCTCCATTGCAAACGCGATTGGTGGGGATGAGGGACAGGGCCTTCTCGGTGATGGCCCCTCGACTCTGGAACTCACTCCCCAGGGACATCAGACATGCCCCAACACTGGCAGTCTTTAGGAGGAGCCTGAAAATGTGGTTGTTCCAGTGTGCCTTCCCAGAATAAGGAAACTCCCAGCAATATGTCCCTAAACACACTTTATTAGTGATCTAGGATTGTCTGCACGCTGTATCCCTCTCCAAAATTTCTATCCTGTTTATATGTCACCTGGTCACGCCCAGCATTATTTTTTTAAATTTTAATTAGTACATTTGGCCCTGCCATTGGTTTTTAAACGTCGTTGTGTTATTGTTAATGCTTATTGCTATTTTCTGTTTATGAGGTTTTTTTTATTACTGTTGCTATTGTTTTTATTGTTGTATTGTGGGCTTGGCCTCATGTAAGTCGCACCGAGTCCCTTGGGGAGATGGTAGCGGGGTAGAAATAAAGTATTATTATTATTACATAACTGCACTCATTCCTTAAGCATCCATCTAATAACCATATTCTGTGATGTTATCTACTAATTGATCAGTGAATCCTGAGATCCTTGATAAAATTTAATACTGATTTCTTTAGAAGAATTAGCAATTGTGGCTCTGATTTGAAATGACTCCCTTAGGATCAAAAAAGAAATGACTCCCTTAGGATCAAAATAATACCCTATACAAACATTTTTGGTGAAGCTGCCAATTACTTTATAAAAATGCTTTCAAGTAGGTACCTTACAAATGGGCACAAAAAAGCACAGTGAGGCTAGCATTTAAATTCCATATCTCCCTGCATGAAGCCTTGCCCCTCTTCCCTAACTGGAGCATGTCAGAAGGGTTATAGCCTATTACAATTTACCTTTTACAGATTTCCTTCCTCCCTGTTCCTTCTCAGCACATCCTTAGTGCTTTCAGTCTTTAAATTTCAAATGACCTGGTCATTAGTCCCTTGAATTTTAGACCCTTTTCAGATGTAACAACAGCTGTTTTATTACAAATCTAATCTCCCCACCACCTCTGGCATCAATGTGCCCCCTTATTTGCAAGATGTCTGGCAGACATCAGCTTTGTATCTATATTTAACATTTCAGTATATTTTGAACTACTTCTCCAGTGGAAGATAAGGAAGATGTTTAGTCTCTATTTTATGATTCAGAGCTTATCATTACAGAATGATAGTGATACCTACATTAAAGAGCTGAAACCAAGTTTAGATTAATACCAAAGAGACTAGGGCTGAGGTAGTAGTGGAAAATTACCAGCCAAAGCAAATTTCAGACAAGGAAAAACTTCAAAAGGGAAATGCCAGTAACAAGCAGGCCAGGTTGGGGGGCGGGGAGTGACACTCAGGAAGGGGAAATGATTGATGATAAAAAGGAGGCGCAGGAATAAGAGCTGTTGCTAGAAAGGAACAGAAGAGATTTTTTTTTTCATGTCAGTAGCGACTTGAGAAATAGCAAGTTGCTTCTGCTGTGAGAGAATTGGCTGTCTGCAAGGATGTTGCCCAGGGGACACCCTGATGTTTTAATGTTTTACCATTGTTGTTTCCTTGTCTCCAGTAATTAATTGGATAAAAGGACCCTGGAACTTTTTGGGGCACTTGGCAATGAAGGGACATGGGCAACAAGACAATAAGGCTAAGTCACTGGCATAGAGCAGGCATGGGAAAATTGCTGAATTGCATACAGTCACGAGGCCTGCTGAATCCAAAAACATATTTTTCATCCATGGCAGCAAGACCAAGAAATTATATTTTTTTGAAACATATTCATGGGCAGCCATTGTGGCCATATAGAGGAGAAAAAAACCTAAACCCAATATCCACAAAAGAGTGATAACTTTATTGGCCAAACAAAATGCAAAAAATAATAATAATTGCATTATGCAAGCTTTCAAAACTTCACTGGCTTCTCCACTGAGCAAAGATGTTACATACATTACGTCCAGGAGGAAAACTTACCAGGAAAGTAGAAAACCCTCGTTCACATAAATAAATTATGGAAAAGAGCATAAGATAGCGCAAAAGTTGGGGTCCACTGCTCCAAACTCACTAAACCCCAGATGGGTGGCAGGAAGGAGCAGGGTTGAAGGGGGCCATGTTTGTTGGGGGTACCTCCTAATCCTCAGGCAGCAGGAGGAGGTTGGTAAAGGCAAGGCAAAAGAAAGCAAAGGAAGAGAAGGTAAAAAGGAAGAGGAAGGAAGGACAGGAGAAAATAAGGCAAAAGGAATGGAAGGGAGAAAAAGGAAGGAAGGGCAAGAGAAAAGAATGCAAAGGAAAGCCTTTGAAGGAAAGTCAAGAGAATAGAAGGAAAGAAGGAAAAGGAAGAGAAGAAAAAAAGAAAGGAAGGGCAAGGGAAAAGAAGGAAAAGGAAGGGAAGGGAAAAAGAAAGGAAGAAGGCAGGCAAGGCAAGGGAAGAAAAAGCAAGGGAAGAAGGACTAGAAAAAGAAGGCAAAGCAACAGAAGAGAAAGGAAAGGAATAACAATAAAACTTTATTTATATATCGCCCTATCTCTCCAAGAGAACTCACGGAGTTTTCCAACATATAAAGCAAAACATTCAATTGCCAAAAGAAAAACCATATAGACAAATAAAATTAAAATAAACACCATAAAACGTAAAATCCTACTAAAACATTCTGGTACATAAAATTTTAAAACTGATTTCATTATAGCTCCACCAGACAGGTTCAAAAGAGACAGAAGAAAAGCAAGGAAAAGTAAAGCAAGGGAAAAGAATGAAAAAAGGGAAGGAGAACCCAACACACACTGAGGCAGCAGCACATGTCACCCTTATCAGAGGCCTTTGCTGGCGGGAGGGCCTCCCTCATTTCCCTCACTTGGTACCTGTTGCCTGGCACAGCCTGGTAGAAGCACATGCGGCGCCCCATCTACAGCAGGAAAGTGAACTCCTGGAGGCCCGGTGCCAGAGGGCACCTCTGCTTCCCCAGCTGGGGCCTCGAAGAGGAAGGCCAAGGGGGAGCAGCAGCCAGGCCGCTGCCACCGCCATCCTGCAGGCCCTGCCTTCCCCGGAAAAGGGAGGCCTGCCCCTGCCGCCCTCTGAGGCCAGGAGAAGGTGCCTAAGGGAAGGTCTCACCACCTGGGCCTGGAAGGGTCTCATGTTCTCAACCTGGAGGAAGAGGGTGGCAAGGAAGGGCGGCTCATCTTCCCAGGGAAGAATTTTGCGCTAAGAAGGAAGTCTAGAACTGGAGGACACTGCATGGGTCATACAGGAAAAGCACAATCAAAGCACCTCTGACAGATGGCTATCCAGTTTCGGCTTAAAAGCCTCCAAGGAAGGAACCTTGCGGTCCCTATTTTAGTTTTTGCGGACCATTGGTTTTCCGCAGACCACTGGATTAAAAGTTGAGTCATGTGGAGAATCCAAGCAACTAAAGAGGTTTGCATGCTGGGTGGAGTAGGATTTTTGGAGATTCAGGTTTTTCTTCTGTACTCTTTTTAGGAATCTGTTTTATTTTTATTTTATTTTTCACCAGATATTTGATATATTTGGGACACTGAACATTAAATACTGGACTACATGGAATAAGAATAGTGTAAAAATCAAATTATTGGATTAAGAGACAAATATAGTCTAAAGACTGAAATCTGGAGCTTGTACTTTTATTTGTTGAACATTTGGCAGTGATCACTGAAAGACATTTCCTTCTGTGAAGCTAGGAGTATGGCTGACCTTGAGGCATCTGATAAAGAAATTGCTCCTGTGAGAAGTCAAAACCAATGTAGAAAAACGAGATTGGTGACTCACTGTGAACTAATATTGATGGATGGGAGTGGACAAATAACTATAAAGGAAATACCAAGACATATTTTCTGGCCTTATGAAGAAAACATCAACAACAATGTCAACAAGAGCAAAAGCAGTTCAAGACACAACAAGACGATTTACGGAAATCAAAGCACCAGATTTAAAAAAAAAGATTTTGGAGGAACTTCAAGGGATAAAGAGAGAACTGAAATCAGACCAAGATGCCATGTTATTGTCCCAGGATACTATGAACTGAAAATGGAATAATGAGAGGTTTATCAGCCACTGATTCCAGTAATAGGAGAAGTGAAGTCCGCAGTTGATAGGCTGGAGAAAAGATCAGGTATTCCTGATAGGAAAGATACCTGGAATAATCACAAGGGTGCAAGGAGAGTGATGATGGAGGCGTTATTTGGGCATGAAGGAAAACAAACTTGATACACAATTTGGCAGAGTTTTCAGTATCACTAATAGACTTGGGGATCATAAGACAATACAAAGAGATGTAAGTGTCTATTTGGTCAATAACGTTTCAGAGTTGAGATTCCATAGAAATAATGAGAAACTGAATGCACATAGCAAGAGAACACAAATTAATATAAAGCTTCCCTTTTTTCTTGAGAGAGAAGCTCAAGAAATAAAAAATACTGATTTAAAGGACTACCTTTTTATTTCAATAACAGAACATTCTGGATTACAGCAATGCAACAAGTGAAAGACTCCTATGATAATGGCAAATATGATCTGGAAGAAGAAGAGTCAGAAGAAATTTGATAAATTGACTTGTTTTTTTTAAAGCAGCACAAGTTTTCAAAAGAACTGGAATCTCCATGTGGAATAGATAAGTAGGACAAGGATTGGCTTGTTACACTGTTCAATGACTAAAAATCATCGACTAAAAGAACAATAAGGCAAATGTTACAAAGGAAAATTGTTATTTGCTTACTATAAATAATCCCCCTTTTTCTTATGATATACTGTTAGTCGTGAATAATGCAACATGTTGTATGATATTATCCTGAGGTAGGATTGAGGAGTTTTAACAAAATATGATATATAATTTA